TGTGCTGTGTGATCTCACTGGCACATTTCCACAGCTCAGCAGACATGTGCATCCCATGCAGCTTACCTCCACCGAAGAATCTAATCAGTGAATTTAGAAAACAGAATTCTGTTTCACCAGCACTTCTTGAAATTCTCCCCTCCTCTAGTAGTAACACAATAATGTTACTGAAATTAGCTCAAAATTCCAATATTGCTTTGTATTTTATGTATATATGTGTCCAATAATTCATGCAGCATTTTTTCTTAATGTATTTTGATTGGTGTGATGCTTTTTTATGTAATTTCAAATACCACATGTTCAAGCTAGAGATGGACATTGAGCCCAGAATTTGGGTTACAGTTGAAATCCATTTTTGTTGTTGACTCATATTACTAGCACTTTTATTTGTGTCTGCAGCCGAAGAGTATCTGTCATTTGCCTTTGAGCACTGTCACCGCTCAAGCCAGAAGAACAAAAGAATGATTTTGATCTACCTGCTGCCAGTGAAAATGTTGTTGGTGAGTTGATGTTTCCTTCTAAATAACTTTCTGGGAGCAGATAACCAAACTGATGCTCAGTATGTTTCTTGTTTTTTCCTTACTGGAATTCAGAGGCTCTCTGTGCCTGACCACTGTAAGAGTCAGCATATGTACAGGTTGTTGTGTGAGGCTAAAAAAAAAGTGTTTAATTGTCATAGCAACACAGGAAAGGAGAAGAGGGGGAAAAAAACCCCAGCAAACAGCACCCCCACCCATCTTTCCCTTTACTTTCCCCCCACCCCTCCTAATGGTGCAACTTCAGGTTAGTTTTAAACAACTTTGGTCTCTTTGGAGAAGCACTTAACTTAAGTTGTGTAGCTGGGTGCCTCTCTGGTGATCAGCTGCTCAGATGGGCCAGGGAATGTATGGATTCACTGGCACAAATCTGTCTGCTTGTTTCACCTGGTGAAGGAAAGGAGGATGTGCAAACAGGTGGCTGAAGAGTCTTGAGAGGGGTTTGCCGCAGGAGAAAAAGGATTCCTATCTTTGGGTTTCCTATTTGCCCATTTGAGGCATATCAGAAGGGTCACAAAGTAGAGCATTATGGTTTTGAACAAATCAGTGAAGACTATTTGATCACTTAATCTTTCTGTTAAAATAATTAAGCACATCTCTGCTTCTTGTTCCTGTTCTTCTCCATGTGCTGTCCTGTGCTGTGCTGGCATTTTTGTATCCCTGAGCCAGTGGGATGATGGTAACTATTAATTCGGTGTAACTGAGGGGGCAAGAACCAGATTTTAGAGTTTCCTGTTCCTGGCCCCATTACCAAAGTTACATATAGACAGTGTTGTTATTACCTGCTTCTCTGAGTTGCCATCTTCCACCTTTGCCCCAACCTGTTCATGACCATCCTCCCTTTTCCATTCAGCACTCCCTTTCCAATCCCTTGCAGTCAGCTGGGTACAGGGGAAGCATAACGGGTATGATAATTGGCTTCTGGTTTTAATTTTTTATTTATTGACTTTGTTGCTGGTGGTTTACAGATCAATTGATGGTAGGGTTGATGAAGGAAAACTAACAGTCTTCCTAAAAGCTTTTGTCCCAGTCCTGACTGGGTATCTTAAACTGGTGGGTCCATTAGTGCTGTTAGTGTGACTTTTGTGGAGCAGCTCTAGTGTACAAGAGGCACTAAAGAAACTAGATAAAGGTCATTGTTTTTACAGTTGCTTTTTTTAAATCAGAGTCCAAACATTAACACTAACCTTAAACTGTACTAAAATAGCTTGGATGGTTTTTTTTATTCCTAGCAGCTCTCAGTAAACATGCAGCTGAGTTCTGCTCTCAGCTAATCCTCCAACCAGGAAAGGAGTTACCAACAGCATAGCATGATGGTAACTAAATTTAAAGTCTGACCCAAGTCAATGTGCAATCTGATCTCTGCTGTACAGAGGGGAAAAAACACCAAAGTTTCTTTTTGATAGTGTAGGCGGTCCAGTCTTACCTGATCTAGCAATGAGAATTAATTTTGTTTCTTTGAGTTTTAACTTTCTTTCTCTTTTTGTTGTTGTTTTGTTTTTTGAGAGGACATTTTTATTTCTGCACAGAGGCATAGTGAAGAAAAAATCTGGTACAGACTGAGCTAGCACTTGACAGTGCTGAAGTACTGCTTGTATTATTAGTAATGCTTGGGATTCCTGCAGTTCTTCTGTTTGCAGATTAGATCATACAGCCATGACATAAAATTTGGGTCTGCCTCATGTTACAGGATCTTGATTTTAAAAGTTTGATAACTGTATCCCAACATTAAGAAATATTAAGTCTCCCTAAACCATGATAAATAGATAGTTATCATGAGTTGAGCTACAAGGTGTTTGGTGTGGGCAAGGGGGTTTTCTTACAAATACTTTTATTCACTTCTTGTTCTGTAGCAAAAAAAAAAAAAGTGGTTACACATTTGTCTTTTTCTCTCACAAATGTTTTTATAGCTTACTACATTACATTTGAAGTGCATTCGACTTTATCCTGGAAAACATGGAAACTGTTTCTTTTTCAGGGCCATATGCCAACAGTTCAGCTCTTAAAAAAGTATGACCTTATGCAGTTTGCTGAAGTAACGAAGGCTGTGAGGTACGATGATTATTTTATTGCCTTGTGTGTTCAAAAAGTATTAAGTAAAAAGATACTTACTGGGGATGATTGAGGAAGGCAGGGGAGGGATATTCCTATCAAGTCAGTTTCTTTTCTTACTTGGATGAGACCTTCTCATGTTTTAATTTTTTCATCCTTGTAGTGAAGGCAATCTTCTCCTACTGAATGACGCTCTGACAAAGCACGAGACCTTCTTTATTCGATGTGGAATCTTTCTTATCCTTGAGAAGCTGAAAATCATCACGTACAGGAATCTCTTTAAGAAAGTGTAAGCATAACAAAACCTACATTTTTGCAAAAGTAGATTTTGTGTGGCTTCACCTAAGACTGAGATAGAAATGTATGTGCTCCTTAATGCTCTCAGAGCACTAAATTCCTCTTAAAGTGAATTTATTGTAGAAAGGCCATTTTTCTAAGAACCAGACTTTTTAAGTGATTGTTTCTCAAAATCAGATTTTTTTTTCTTCTGTTGTTTCTTTCAGATATTTACTACTCAAAACCCATCAGCTGTCTCTGGATGCCTTTCTGTTTGCCCTGAAATTCATGCAAGTAGACGATGTTGATATTGATGAAGTCCAGTGCATTTTAGCTAATCTTATATATATGGTATGTACTGACCACTTGTTTGGTCCTTCCAGACTTAAGACAGTAAAAAATATGAGGTACAGAATAAAAGTTTATTACAAAAAACGTATCAGTAATCCCAGGTTTTCTTGTGTAAAAAAAGTTGATTCACTTGTGCCCAAAGTGAAATATTTTCATTTGCCCTGAGGGCTTCCTCTAATTCCTGCCTCTTTTGCAGGAATCAGTTGAAACTGAAGTTGAATTTTACATTACAGATCCAGTACTGACATTTCTATATATGCATAAATACTGATCTAAAAATACTGAAGTTGTAACTGGGACCAAAAGGGATTTGTTCTGTGTTTGAAGTAGGAGATTCTGGACATTCTAACATTAGAAAGAGTTAAAACCAAATTGCTTTGGGTTGTTTCACATCTTGTCTTTTACTCTAAATGGATCTCAATTACTCATGAACAGATAAAGGCTTGAAATGAAGAGATTTCTAATAAATTGGAAGGTTTGGAGCAGCATTGCAGTGTCAGCAAGGAAACTAACTGCTTCTCTGTTTCTGAAACATCATTGGTGGGCTCTTGGAGTAACAGAGGATGAGATTAGGCGACTGGAAGATTTCTTTCAGTGTTACAACGCTACTAAAATCATCATTTCAAAGAGTAAATTTAGAAACACTTCTGTTGAGCTCTGTCTCTTCGAGGAAATGTGAGGAGACCGGTAGGGGGGGCCCTGGCAGCAGTCTCAGTCTGACAGCACCCCTTAGGACACAAACAAGGTTATGGTTCCAGCTTTCTGCTTCCTCTGTGAGTTAACCCACTGGCATAAACTGGATCCTTACAGATATTAAGAACCATAGTGCAGCGACGACTTAGTAAATAGGCGTAGCTTTGCTTGATGTAGTCTGGAGGCAGCTGAGGTTAATAGGCATTGTATTACCAGCTTTCAGTCCTAACACTCTCTTTTTCTCCTTTTCCCAGGGTCACATTAAAGGCTATATATCTCATCAGCATCAGAAGCTCGTGGTCAGCAAGCAGAACCCATTTCCTCCGCTGTCAACAGTGTGTTGAGCGTTGCGTCTCACCCGTGCAAGTACTTTTCAGATACTCAGCTTGCCCAGTGGGGCTGCTCCTAGTCACCCTGAGAACACTGTAAATGACGTGGTTCGTGTCCAGGACTGGAATACCAGGAACTGTTTGTGGCTCCTTTCCCAGAATGACCAAGGCTGCCAGTGTTACAAAGTACATTCGAATGAAATAATAATTTTTCAATGACAGTTTCTTCAGGCTTTCTACATCGTTCAAAGTATTTCAAGAGGAAATAAGGCAAAGCATTCCAAACTCTGAATGAAATAATAACTTTTCAAGTTATTTCAAGTTTCTTCAGGCTTTCTAGATTGTTCAAAGTATTTTAAGAGGAAATAAGGCAAAGCATTCCAAACTCCTTCCGAAGTACTTAAAGCTTTTATAAAGTACTCTGTGTTACTACTTCCGCATTTGTCTTTCAGAGGGCAGGAGTATCATACTTTGTTACTTGTGTTAATCCATTCTTCAGAGTGGAAATGATGTGTTCTTTCATGGTTTCCATTTTTTTAAGTCTCTTCCATAGTCTTGCAGGTATTAAATACTCTCTTCAAGCCTTCTCTAAAAACTAGAGAAATGCTTGACAGCAAAAGCTTTACTGTGTCAGTGATACTTACGGGTTCAAGTAAATGTGGGATTTTTGTCTGTCGGTGCCCACAGATGGGTTTGGTTTTTTTAATTACAGTAAAATTTTGTTTCATTTTTGTTATGATGAACAAAAGCTTATCTAAGTAACTTATCCATCGTCTGTTTTATTCTGCTTCTGGACAAAACACTGTCACTGGATCCGTTATCGCAAGTGTTACTACCTTGGGGGTTTTGTTTGCTTGTTTTGGGGCTGGTACAACATAACTTTGTCCATAGTGATGGGAAAGTAGTTTGGGAATTTTTTAATTCTTTTTTAAATAAAATAAAACATTTCCCCCCCCCCGGCCTTTGAGAGTTGGGGTTTATTATACCCACTAACTGATGTGAACATGATTCATAAGGGAAAACACAGGTACCATGTATGAGGGGAAGCATTTTTCAGTCTGATGAGAGTGTCAAGTCCTACCTCAAAATAGGCATTTAAAGGCTTGGAGTTCCCCTGGTCTTCATAAGTTTTACTTGTATGGATACAGAAATAAGAATATGGATTTGTTGAATCAAACCTCAGGGTAACAAGAATTAAAAAGACTCCTTTCCTTCTAGCAACATTTAAAATCCCAGAAAAACATGAACGCTTTTTGAGTTTTAGGATGAACAGTTATGGGAAACTTCAGTATTTTTTAGTAAAATAACTAGGTTTATGGCATCATGACTTTCACAGTACTCTGTGTCCGTAGAAGAAGGAACGACAAAGAAGCTTTTCCGTATGAATTGGAGTTATATACACGTCATCATTGCGACTTCCTTACTGCAGATCGTGATAAGAGAGTCAGATGGGTGTGCTGGCTGCATCCAAACGTTTCCTTGCAGTGACTGGCAGGGGTGTGGTGCTGGAGGGTTGGTTGTGTTTGTCTTATTTCATTTTTCGTTTAAACCATATCATATACCTCGCCGTGTTAGTGAATAGGAATGTGTCCCAGTCAGCATCTTCTAGCGGCCAAGATCCCAGGATACCAGTCAGGAACCAAGTGCCCTTATACTCGGTAGCTAAAAAGCTTCCTCCAGCCAGTCGTTTGTCTACGGCCTCCTGGAGGTGTCCACAAAACTGCCTGTTTGTGAGGCTCACGTTGAGTATTTGTTTGCAGTCCTCAGCGGGGAGGTATGACACCTGCAGCTCGTCCCCTTGGAGCTCCTCGCCTTCCCTTCTCCAGCCGCTGACTGTCCCAGCCAGTTTTGGAATTAGAACGTGTTCTGCAAAGTCTCTTTCAGGGGTGCAGACGGGAAGCTGGTGGCTGTTGCACTCCACGTGCTCTTGGAGTTGCAGCAAGGCGATGTTGTTCTCAGCAGTGTCTTCTTCATACCGGATGTGTATGTGTTTCTCCCTGACTTGCAGCGTCTTCTGGGTTCCGCTTGTTCCATTAGGCCCTGTGAAGCAAGGACATTTCACTGCTCTTAGGGAATAATCTTAACAGACACCTGAAAACCCCATGCAGGCTGACAGCAGCTGCCTGGTCATGCTGAGAAACGTGTGCAGCAGAGAAACTAAAGGCACTTTTCTTGAAAACACTGCAGTGAAGGTAAACTATATAAATCATAGAATCATCTAGGTTGGAAGAGACCCTTGGGATCATCAAGTCCAACCATCTACCCTACTCTACAAAGTCATCCCCTACACCATGTCCCTTAGCAAAATATATTGACAGCTTTTTAATGCTGTGTAGAAGCATGCAAAATTTCAGAGTGAAGGACAAATAATGAGAGAAGTGAATTTTGGCATGAAACTAAAGCCACCTCTAAATCCACCTGGTTTAGCTTATCCCTAGGTGTGCTGAGTTCTGAATTGCATTCCAGAGGCAGTTGTTTCTCCGCTTGGCTTGTAGGGGGTCATGGGGCAGATCTAGTTCTTGCTCAAGATATGAGACTGAGATGCTTAAATGAGATGACAGCAGATTTGTTTCCTTTAACAATATTTTTATGCAGAAAAATATTTAGTTACCCTTTTTTAAAAAAAATTTAAATAAATTAATTTTTTTTAAAAAAATGCTAAAATGTGCTGCAAGAAGAGCAAATGTGTTTGATCACCTACCAGTACCAACCCTGATTTCAAAATGGCTGTGCAGAAGGGCGCACTCTGCTGTGGTCAGTACAAAGTTACTTTTTAGCAGCACTCCTCCACAGAAGCCCTTCCCTTCTGAGTTCAGCAGCAGGACCTATGAAAATGCGAAAAGGCCATAAATAGCACTATCCGTGTGAGGCTGAGTGATGGGTTTCATGAATTGCTAGAAATACCTGCCAAGGAAATCGCTCGTCACGTTTCTTCCTGGTTTTGCTTATCTGATTTTCACTGTCTTGAAGTCTGCCACAGGCACATTGATCTAGGAGATGAGTTAAAAAACAAAATCAAAACCTCCTGCTATATAATTTCAAGACATCTACTACCTGCAAGTATCTTACTGCTTCCACCTTGACTTTTGGATTTTGCTTTTGCACCATGGAAAAGGGCAAGGAGAAGTTTCCGAAGTGGTGAGAAGTGGAAGAATTTGCTTGGCACCTATAGTCTAACAGCTTAGCGATGGTGCTGAACATTTTGGGTCATTGCTTAGGCTTGTGGTGACCAGATTTCACTGTGTCACTAATGAAATGAGGCTTCCTCTCCAGCCAACCATCAGCACAGCTTGCTTCCTCATCTTTGTATCCTGTGTACAAATCATGCTGAGTAGCTGATAGCTGTGGCCCGATCTGGACAAGGTAAATCCTGGGGTTTTGGGTTTTCCTTGTTAAAGCTGTTGCTCTAGGGATGCGCATGCCTTTATGTTCTGGTTCAGACAGCGAGTGTGCTTTTCAAGTGGATCCCCCAGTTACCTGCATTTATCATACTTTCTACTCACCCAGTGGCATGGCCTTGGGTCACAAGAACTGGGTCCTGGTCAGGTGAAGCTAAACCAGAAGACACCCTCTGTACCCTCATAGCTAATGGGTGCTTAGTCCATAGGACCCAACTAGAGCTAGTCTGATGTAAAGCCCAGCTGAGATGTGCAGTAAGTGTGGAAATCAAGCCTTCATCACCAACATTGTGGCTCTACAGCTCAACTCCTATTTGGCTGCCCTACTTGCTAATAGAGCCAAGGGCCTAAGGGTACTACTGTGGATTTAGTAGACGTAGTTTATAAGGGAATGAGATTGAATGAGATACCTGGTATGAGACTGAAAAAAAATGAAGAGAGCTACTGCTTTGTCAGTTAGGTTGACGGTTGGACAAGATGATCTTTAAGGTCCCTTCCAACCTAGAGGATTCTGTGATTCTGTAATTAATATGGCAGCAAATGTTGCCCTTCATTTATCAGACCATCAGGTGCCTGATTGGAATCTATTGAACCTTATTCCCAAACAGACGGGTCTTGAGCAGAGCTACTCTTTATCGAGCACAGGAGTGGAAAACCTGGCCCGGTGAGTGAGACATAGAATGATGCAAGTCCTCTCTGCAGACCCATGTTTGAATGTTGGGGTCAAATATTGCTTCTTTTACCACTGCTCTGGCATCTTGGTTGGTGGTCCCTGGATTCCTCCTTTATCTGCCCGGTTTGGAAGATCAGCAATATCCTCATCGCTTGAGTCTCCAAGGAAGCTGATGGCACCTGGATGTCAGATGGTGGCCTGCTCACCCCAGCACCGAGCGTGTGCCCCCTGTACTTCCACGCTCGCACCTACCTAACGCGATGCACTGCTTGTTGTCCTTCCCGAGCTCATAGCCATCAGCACAGGAGCAACGGTAGGAATTACTTCCCGGGTAGCAAAAGTGGTGACACCCTTCCTTGGCTTGGTGGCGACATTCATTTTTAGCTAAACAGAACAAGCGGACGAAAAGCATTGGGAACAGTTCAGCTGGAGTTTTCTTGCGTAGCTTGAGTCCTCTTGACTAAGTGTTTTGTTTTTAATTGCTTTGTGGGGAGGCGGGTAGGGACTCTGGCTTGGTAGTGTTTCCCACCATGTTGTTTTTCCCCTTGTTAAGCAGAAATTGGAGACAGCTGAATCTCTGTAGCATCCACAGACTCATTGCGAGCTGTGCCCACCCAGCACCCCCCTGCACCAGTCTGTCTGCACCTCTGAATTTTGGGGAGGGTTAGCCAAGGGCCAAGCATGGGTTCACATGGAAGGATGCCATGGGTTTTCTTTCTGCTCTCTCAAACAAAACACTTAAGTATCTGCAGCAGGAGGAATGGTTGCACACGTTAAGACAGTTCTCTCCCTCGTAGCCCACGTTAAGAAGGCTGAGGAGGAAAGCTAAAGCTTTCTAGTTTTCAGCAAAAACAAACGCGTGGCTCTTATTTCTCACACCTCTGCTAAGAAACTTAAAATTAACAACTGTCAAAGATAAATAAAAACAGAAAGGGAATATTAATCACCTTTGAAACACGCTTGGTCAACTTTCCATAGCTGAGCAAACACTTAAGCTTCAGCACAAAGCAGCAGGAGGAACAGCCGTTTGATGGTGGATCTAGCTCACAGGTGGAGCTGTAGCAAAAAAACCTCCCATAACGTGGCCCTCTAAGGCTCATGCTGAGCAGATCCAGTTCCCAGCACTGGTCCAAGCTATGTCACCTTCTGCGCTTCCCCAAAAGCTGGTCACAGTCACACCCCTTCTACAAAAAATGACCCTGCCTTGCAGCAGCCGGGGCGTTTCCCAGCCCAGGAGACCTCCGAGCCAGCAGAAATACTGATGTAAGGGCTGGAAAGTAGAACCTGGCAGATGTAAAAATGTCGGATCGGGCCCAGGGTGTTTTATATGCCAGAAAATATCCATTTTGCTTTCTGCCTTTTAAACTTCCACTGAAAATTGTTTGTTTTCTGGAGTCCCTCTGTTCTGAGGGACTGTCCTGTGGGTGCGTGTGGCCTCAGAGGCACCGGGGTGGCTGGGAAGCTGCCCCAGCACTGCAGCCCTGGTTCTCCAGGCCACAAGCCACCTCAGAACATGGTGGGACAAGCAGCTGGGGAGCACCAGTGGGAGCAGGCAGGGATGCCTTTGGAGCCCACCCATGACAGGGACTTGCTTCAGCCCTTTTCCTGTGTCCCCGGAGAAGGGAGACTCCTCTCCCCGAGCCTCCCTTCACCCCACCTTCAGCCCACATCGCCCCTGCTCTGCCAAGAACTGTGTGTTTTAACCTAAACTATGATAACTGACTGTAATGGGAGAGCTGCGTATGGTTTCCTGGGGATCCCCTATGCCAGGAGGAGATAGGGCTTCTCCGAAGAGGGGGTGATGCCTTACCAAAAGCACAGTTCTCTCCCTCGTAGCCCTCAGCACAGGTGCAGGTGTAGCCACGGATGCTGTCCTCACACACGCCGTTGTGCTGGCAGGGGCTCGACGAGCACCTCCTGCCACCTGGAGAAATGCCACAGGAGAGGGATGAGTCACCACCACTGCTGACCCGAACTACGCAGCCCCCTCCCCAGCCCGCCAGCCACTTGGAGAAGCATTGCAAAAAGGCTTGGGAAGAAACGGGCTACATCTCACCAAACTACTCCTCAGGAGTAATTTTAGCCCAAGTCTCTGCTTCCACGGGCGCTCCCACAGCCTCTGAGGGGCCCAGGGGCAGAGCCCGCTTCTGGAGGACGGATGCTCTGCTTCAGGGAAAAGCACTGATTTACAGCTCATGCACTCATTATGAGTGTAACATGAGATTAGCGTTCTAGGTCTCCCATGTTAGGTTGATATGCATATAGATAAAAAAGCTATTATATGCATATATGGATTAAAAAAAAACCCTGGCATCAAAGTTATACATCAAGCAACATCAAACTAGGAGGAAATCTGGCTTTCACACCTCTGTAAAATTATTGTACAGCAGCTCAGGCGCTAGCAAGCTTAGTCTTTCTGATGAACCGAACATTGAAACCAGATGATGCCTCACTACAGGTGGAGCACCAGGCAGGGCTCCCAATTTCCCTTTAAGTTGCCCACTGGAAAGGCTCCAAAAGAGTTTGGAAATGTTCTCCGATTAGCTGTTTGTTGCAGACACAAGTAATCAGGGAACAAGCCAAAAAAGCCTAACCTGGGACATGCTCTCCAAACCTTCTAAAATTCAAAACTTCATCAGAGAGGTCAACTTCAGTCAGTGGCCTGCTGTCATGAATATCAGGGACAGAAAGGTGAAAATTCTGCCTGGTATACTAGGACCAAATCACCAACCAGCATCTGCTCAAGCTATGGGCATTTTTGGGTATGGGATATGGGTATCTTTGAGTGTCAGCTGTACTAAAATACTGCCTTAAAGCAGTTACTGCCTTCAGCCCACCTGCAGTCAGATGCCATCAGCACAACTCGGGTCACCTGAGAGGGTTTTTGGGTGGGTTGAGGGGGTCTCATCAGCACAGCTGAGAAGGTAGAGTTGAGGAGTGAGGGTCTCCAGCAGCAGTGGTGGGCAGCTGGAGCTAGGGAAGGGCTATACCTACAGCCTGAAACAAGTGAGGTGGTTTCAAGGCTCTGAAATATAGGCTCAAATATAGGTAAGGAAGTCTCTAAAAATGTCTGGGGTCAGGTGAGGTTCTGGAAGACTGGGGAAAAAAGTAAACCTAATGCCTAGCTTTATTAAAGGAGGAAAGAGAAGATTCAAGGAATTATAGAAAAACCAGCATGACTTCTGTTACTGGAAAAGTAGTGGAACGACTAACCTGTATCCAAGCACTCAGCAAAATAAGAGGGTGGTAAGTAACAATAACATGCATTTTTCAAGATCAAATAGTCCAAACCAAATCAATCTAATTGTATTATAGGATAAAGGACCTAGTGGGGATTCAGTGAACATCCTAGAACAGAAATTTCTGACATGACGTTGTCATTAAGTGAGCTAGGAAAACAGAAATGACTATAAGACATGGACAAAACTGTTTGGAAAACGATGTTTAAAAAGAGGTTATCAATAGCTTGTAATACCTATTTTTCTTGCTTAGGTTTAAGTGCTAGGTTTGTATTTACGTGGTTTTGTTGGTAATGCTGTGCTGCTCAGTTTTATCACAGAGTAGACTTTCTCAGGTCCCAGGCAGTTTCAGAACAGCCTTAAGTTCAAAAAAAGAAATAGCCTATTTACTATGGTAACATCTGCTCACTTTAACTTTTATTCACTTTGCAGTCTTAATTGTTTTTTCCTATTTATTGCTTTTTTTAAACTTTTCACATCAACACTATTCTTTCTGCTTAAATAGCGACTGGGCGTTTCTTGTAGGATAAATTGCTGAAAGCTCTCAGAAAACCAGCATTGGACTGAATCATAATGTTCACAGTGTGACAGTGCTATTGGGGGAGAGAAATCAAGAGCTTACCGTAGTAGGCATCCCAAAACATTTTCTGGAAAAAACAAAAGCGGAGGGGGAATTAGATTTTAATTCTCAAGTAATATAATCCTCCATAAATATTTTGGTAAAGCAAAAACAATACACAAGAGAATATATACTATGTTTTAACATTTACACGGTTGCACAACTACAAATTCTGCCCTGCCAGCAAAATTTGGATGAGGGGGGGTTGCATCCTGCTTATTTTATTGTTTCTTAAGAAGGTATAAAGGAAAAGAAACACTTTACAGGCAAGAGAGGAAGAGCTGAATCCTTTAGCAATACAGCTTCCTGGAAAAACTGGCTGGCCATTGTCTCTTTCGTGTGTCAGAGCTGATCTCTGAGTTTCCACTTTGACCACTGAAGACACCTGCTTTCCGCCTGCTGAGGTGGAAAAATTTCACAGGGAGAGAAACCCAAACAAAGGAAGCAGGGCACAGGGCTAAATTTGATCATAAAAGACCAAGGCAGTCATTTTTAATACGCACACAAGAAAACAAAATACTTACAAGCATTTCATCGTCCTCAAATACTTCTCTTGCTTCTTCCTGCGTGCATCTCTCTTCAAGGCATTCTCTTTCCAAGCTGCCTTGGAGGACCTCTTCCAGAAGTAGGGAACTGGCACGCCTCTGTCTCTTGATAACCTTGTTTGCATCATCAGCTGATATAAACACTGAAACGTTGTATGACAAAATGCTAACTTCAGTACTTAGACTCATTTCCTTACATATTTTCATCATTTTTTAAAAAAGATAATATTAAGCAGCCAATTTTAATCACGCAGAGAAAACTTCTGGCTGATTCAGGGTTTCAACCACATTAACCTTGCGTACTGGAAGAGCCCTATTTTCTTAGCCCAGACTCAGCTGAGGAGTCATGACCCTTTTCTCTTGGGGAGAGCCTGAATTGCTCCCAAGCAGAGAGAATTTGAAGCCCTTCCTGATGAATTTTTTTTCCTGCACCAGGCACACAGAACAGCATTGCTGTGGCATGGCCAGGGAAATGTATTATCATAAAAGCAGAGGCTATTTAGTAAGGCTGCATGGGGCTTTCAGACTCCTCAGTAGAAGTGAAAATTATTTGTATTAATTTATGATGATGATTTCAAACTGATTCCCATCTGTCAGACCTCACAGGGATTTTTTGCTGAGAAGCAAGCACATCACATGGCTGTGCTCTCAATCAAATCTCTCTTACAGAGAATAAATGAAAACTACCCCTCAGCAACGCTCAAAAAAGTTACAAGGGCTGTATCATACAATATCCTTTATGTGGAAGACACCATAATCTCTTTGATTTGGGTAAAGAGGAGGAGAGATCAAATACATGAGAGTTATCAGATCTTAAAGCTCCTCTTTGCAATGATGCCCACAGCAAAAACTGCCTGCCAGCAGGATGGCTGGAGCCTGTTGCCTTTGACACCAAGCAATATGCGGCTGTGTGTGTCAGCACGCATTTGTCAGCTCTCCTGTGCTTGGAAAGTAAACCCATTGGGGCAGGGACTGCGTTGGAGTGGTTTTTTTTAATTATTTTATTCAGTGTTTGAAGGCCCAGCACTGCTAGGCACAAAGGTTGAACTAATCAGTAATATTAAAAGTGGAAAAAGTGACAGCAATAACAAAATTAGTCTAAAAGTGCATACAAATGCTAAGTTAGGCTTTTGAAGGATATTCGATAAGCAACATATTTCCATGAGATAGTGAAAAACAAAAAAAACACAAAAAAAAACAAAAGAAGAGCTTAATGTTTGTGTTTTGCAATTTAAAAAGTTATCTAAAACCCCAGTGCACGTTTCTGCCGTGCAGTGTTTCCGATGCATCCTGTGTAACTGGCAGTGCCCTTCTGCTGCTGCCAGGGGCATTTTGACCTTCTTAAGTGGTCACCGCCTTTTTCTTCCTTGCCCAGCTCCTCCTTAGTACTAACAAACCATGGAGGATTAAGGCAGAAACATGAATTTCTTCAAGCTATAAGAAGCATGCATCTCAGCCTCTGTCATAAGGCTTATTTTTATGATGTCAGCAGCAACTAGAAATACAGAACAATATTCTCATTAGTATCTGGGGCACTCTTTAAGAGTGATAAGAAAAGACAAAATGCCACCCTGGCATAAATTACGGTAATTCAAAATTGCATTGCCTTAGTAACCTCTTGTAGTTTATACTTAGCTATATAAAAAAACCCAACAAATGACCGCACGAGAAATGGAAGAAAAATAAGGAACAGAGAGTTTTCAGCGGTGTACTTTGTGCTACAAAGTAAACAAGAGACATGGTACAAAAGTCCTGGTGCGTTTAGAAGAGCAGCAGCACAGATCAGTATTAAAGCCACAAAAAAAAGCAAAGGCCATACCTGTCTGCTCTGTCTGAAGGAAAAGGGCAGAGAGAAGATACAATATTGTCCAAGAGCACCTTGCCATTGTCACCCTCAGAGCCTAGTGGCCTCCTGCCTGCATTCCTGCCGCTCTTGAGGGGAATGGCTACAGGGGAGATGTTGAAGTTTAAAGTCCAGCTGCTCATGAGAAAACAAAACTTCTAAGGGCAAAGCCTGGCCTCAATGTCAACACGTGAAAAAAAAAAACAAAAAACAAAAAACAAAAAACCAAACCTTCCTCAAAAAAACCTGCTTAGTAGCACAGCAGTGCCCCTTCTCTTGGTGGTCTGGCTGAAGGTGGAGCAGGTTTGCCAGCTGTGCTGAGAGCTGCTCCAAAATCTGGGTATTCCTCCCACTCCCCCACCCCCCAGCCTTCACTTACTGTAACACAAAACAAGGAGAGATGAACAGTATGACCATTTATTTGTACCATATCACAGCACAAGCTGGATGACGTGTACGGAGATCGATTTTACGGGAAGTGGTTGAGTCACCACCCCTGGTGGTATTTAGAAGGTGGGTAGACATAATGCTTAGCAATATAGTTTAGTGATGGTTTTTGTCAGTGTTAGGTTGATGGTTTTGGACTAGGTGATCTGAAAGGTCCCTTCCAACCTAGACAATTCTATGATTTGGCAAGGCTTAGCTGCACCGGTCACATCCCATCGGCTTTTGGAGCAACCAAGCAACCAAGACTAGGATTTCTGCCGTAGGGAAGTGTCTGAATGGGTACAGCTTTCTTCGTTTTTGACTGTTTGGTTTGCCCTGCCCAGCCATGAAGGAGAGCATGGGAAACTCTTCCTGACTTCAGGATCCCTGTCACACAGACACACTGGAGGTGATAGGAGGTGTAAGTAGGAAGGGGACAGGAGCACCTCCCTGGGCTGCTGTGCCATGCACCCTGGAGCTGGGACAGCCCTCCTGCCTGGCCCAGGATGAGAGGAAGGATCTAAGTGTTGGCATACATGGGCTGGGCACTGCCATGGCAGTCGTGCCCCTGGGAATTGTTTGGCTCCCAGCACAGGCAGGGTCCTGGAAAGAACAGGAAGCCCTTTCTTTAGTCAGAGCAACAAAGGGTGAGAGGAAAAATGTGGGTTTTTTTCTTTTTTTTTAGCTGAATTAGAAACATAGAGACCATTCTGTGCTTTCATGTCATAAATTCCCAGCTATTATTTGAGTATGCAGTTCTTGTAACAAAGAATAATTGATCTGAGCATTCATGGGTAAATCCCAAAATGAAACTTCACTTTACATCAACTGCAGTTTTTAAAACCAGCGTCAGTGAGTAGCGAGGCAGATGAGCAGGGCAGATGACCACGTGCCTCGCCAAGGCCAGTCCCTGCCAACCCAGGGCTGATGGTGCAGCCCACATCGTAGACCCTGGTGCCTTCAGCAAATAATTAACCTCCGTATTAAAACTGCATTGTGGGAGGCTTTTCCTGCACAATCTCTGCGGAACATTGTTCCAGAAGTTCACTCAGAGTTAAAACCCTTCTAATATCAAGCTTGATTTTATTCACAGACAGTGCATAACCTTACGTATTTATTCTTCCTTCCTTGATATTTCTGCAGAACTAATTAATCTAGTCTCTCATCCTCTTTGGTTAGCTCTGTGTTGAATTTTCTTAAGCAAATGAGTTCTCTGTGCTCTCCTCAGTTCCCTGAGGCCACCAAACCCCATTGTACTTGTTCCAGACAGGAGTTTCTTGGCTGCGGAAAGGGGGAGGAGGGGGGCTGCTGTCAGTGGTCACATCTGGTGGGTGCTGGGGGGCTCAGACAGTACCTTGTGTGCCCAGAGCCACTGGGGAGGCTCACCTCGCCCTCCTCACCTTGCACAGCTTTGGCTGCATTGCTTTTCCATAATCCTCTGTCCGGCAGTGGGGCTGCCACCATAGCCCCCTACCTTCCCCCCACTCCCATCTCCTTGCCTTTACCTTCCTGTGATAATGAATATCTCTTCATGCATATGCAAAACAGAGAGTCTGGCTCCCTTCTTCATGAAAAGTATGTCACCACTTGATGTCAGCACAGGACTTTGCAGAGCCCGGCACAGAACTGCAGATCTGCAGATTTTATTTTTTTTAAACAAGCTGTTTACATATTGCAGACCTATGTCAGTTACGGAACTCTTGTAGGTATTAAGTAATTATTCAAATTAGGTCAATAATAACAACATGGAGCTTCAGAAGCTGTATTCTCACCAGACCTTAGTTTACACGGCCATTTTTTTCTTACTGTGTTTGTTTTAAACAAAGTGTTCCTTGACTGAGCAGCTGTGCCCTTGGGGATGAGCCACAGTGTGCTCAGTATGTCATGGCACTGACACAGCTTTTTCTGTATCAATATTATTGCAACAGGCTTTACATGTTAATTTTCGTATTACGATGGAAAATTGCCTAAGGAGAGGGTTTTAAAAGGGCAGTCCTTTCCTCACATCTTCCTTTACGAAGAGCTACTGGGATTGCTTTTTCCACTCCTTTAATTAACACAGTGAGCACACGGAGATGTGTTTCATTAAGGAGACCCGCACCCCATTTCCTGCAGCCCCGGTTAAGGATTGCCTCCTGCTTGAAGGGTCACTCTTTCCAGCATGAAGCTGGTGTCAGATAGGAAATCTGAAGTTCCTCAGGATGAAGTAGCTGAATTAGTTGGTCCTGCTTTAGCCACTGCTTCCCATGGAAGTGCCCCCAACCCAGCAGTGCAGCAAGCCAGGGGAAGCTGGTTGGTGTGCAGACCAGATGCCCGGGCACCGATGGGGACATGGCAATGCTACCCCCCTCAACCCGCTGCGGCCCCTGGCCAGCCACCAGCCCTGCTGCAGTGAGGACATCTGGGGGCAGCTGTCCTGAGTGACTCTGTCACCATCACATGCTTTCGGGAAACACACACCTCAGCTAGTGAAAGGGGACTACAATTATTTTCCAGAAAATGTCGCGCTCTCACTAAGCAAATAACAAAAGCTGATGGTTGGGCTTGCAGCCACGTTCCTCCCTGGAGGCGTCCTCCACGAGCGACGTGTGGGCACAATTGTGTGTCATGGACACCGAAGGTGGTTCAAGGTGAAGGGGACTGTGGTGCACTGCCCCGTGGCAGGAGGTGCAGGCTCATGGGGCAGCTCCAACCTCCCCTCTCCTCCACCTCACCCTCAACAGGGATCTGGGAACCCTGGGATGAGGGAGAGCCCACAGCTGCTTGCTGCTGCAGGGCAGGGAGGAGGAGGAGGGATGGGGACTGGGTCCACAAGGAGCAGACCCCTCCAGTTTGTGTGTCATGGACACCAAAGGTGGTTCAAGGTGAAGGGGACTGTGGTGCACTGCCCCGTGGCAGGAGGTGCAGGCTCATGGAGCAGCTCCAACCTCCCCTCCACCTCGCCTCTTTTTCTGTTTGGCCCTCAACAGGGATCTGGGAACCCTGGGATGAGGGAGAGCCCACAGCTGCTTGCTGCTGCAGGGCAGGGAGGAGGAGGAGGGATGGGGACTGGGTCCACAAGGAGCAGACCCCTCCAGTGTTATCTTGTGCCATGCACCCAGGTCCAGTCCTGTGTGCCTGTTGCCAGACCTCAGCTCTGGGAGCACAGGGGCAGAAGAAAATGGGAGGATATGGTTTCTCTGATGTGCTTAGAGATGCCTAAGTTGGTGGTTAGTGAACCAGCAATAACAAGGGCCCCTCCAAGCCCCTCTGCTCTGAGCCATCTGTGCTACTGGTGGGGCTGGTGAATTTTTAACCTCTGCCTCCTCTCCTGCCCCCTTTTGCCTCTGATGCAGTTCCTCAAAAGCCCACCAGCTTCCTCTGTGCTCTCCCCTTGCTCCAGGTTGCTGTCATGGTTTAGCCCTGGCTGGCAACTGGGACCATACATCCCTTCACTCACTCCATCCTCCTCACAGTAGGGCAGGGAGAAAAAGGACAAAAAACCCACTCGTGGGTTTATATAAACACCGTTTAATAGAATATTAATGAAAGAGAAAAAAAATGGTAAAAGAATATACAATATAAAGTTATGCAATACAAATTGCTCTCACCACCCCATGATTGATTGCCCATCCCAAGCACGGGTTGTGGATCCCTGCCCCCCAGCCAACCCCCATTTCTATACTCCCAAGCACGGATTGTGGATCCCTGCCCCCCACCAACCCCCATTTCTATACTGACCATGATGTCTATGGTATGGAATATTCCTTTGGACAGTTTGTTCTATGTTCCCTCTCATCTTCTGTGGGAAGGTGAAAAAGTCCCTGACTTGGCATAAACATTACTTAGCAACAACCAAACCAATCTGTGTTATCAGCATTATTCTCATACTAAATCCAAACCACAGCAGCTACTAGGAAGAAAATTAACTCTGGCCCAGCTGAAACCAGGACAGTTACCCAGAGCCCCAGCTGGCAGGGTGAGGAGGTAGGAGCAGGCATGGACGATTGACAGACTTGCAGCCCCACTGCGGCCCACTGTGGGCAATGCCTGTCCCCTCCCAGGTGGCACAGGGCAGCAGACAGAGAGTGGCCCTGTCACCACTTTTTCTAACTCCCCGTGGCTACAGCAAGCCACCTCCTTGTCCCCCATGTCATCATTCTCCATGCAGGTCACCCATCTCCCACCTCCTGCCCAGCAAACAGAAGACAAAACCTGCCCCATGCCCTGAGTATCAGTGGCTCCCTAAATCACTATCCCTTTGCCTAAGGCAGAGGAAAGGACCACGACTGGCTGCCCCCTGCCCAGCTGGTCTCGCCCTTCCCACAGGGAAGAGCTCTGGAGAAGCTGCAGGTAAATCACAGCAATCCCTGCCAGCTCCAAAGAGACGGACAGGGCAGAAGCCAGGATTTACTGTGGCTTAATTTAGCAATTCCTCTGTCAGAGGGCTCATATATTGTGGCTCTTTAGGTTTTTCTTGGCATAGAGAATATGGAAATGGAAGCAGCAGGTTCAGGAACAAGGGAGAGCTTTTTCAAATTAAAGAAGCAGCTCTCCCTTGCAGACAACTGTTTAGGAACAACAAAATGGGAGCACATCCCTCAGCCCTGACTAAACACCAGCTGGTCCAAAACAGGTGACTGTGGTCATGTGTAGTCTTGGTCAAGAGCTAGCAATGAGCGACACAAACTAATCCCATTTACATGCCAATGTACACTCTGCTCATATGAAGCACCATTATCAGTATTCATGCCTATAAGCAGCACAGGCCTTTGCATGTACAGAAGCTGATCAGAGCGCTGGAGCCCCTCTCCTATGAAGACAGGCTGAAAGAATTGGGGTTGTTCAGTCTGGAGAAGAGAAAGTGGCGGGGACACCTTATAGCAGCCTTTCAGCACCTAAAGGGGCCTATAGGAAAGATGGGGAGGGACTCTTATCAGGGATTGTAACAACAGGACGAGGGGTAATGGTTTTAAACAGAAGTGTAACAACAGGATGAGGGGTAATGGTTTTAAACAGAAAGAGGGGAAATTTAGATTAGATATAAGGAAGGAATTTTTTACTGTGAGGGTAGTGAAAGCAGGTGGTGGTGGTGGAACTGGTTGCCCAGAGAAGTTGTGGATGCCCCATCCCTGGAAGTGTTCAAGGCCAGGCTGGATGGGGCTTTGAGCCACCTGCTCTAGTGGGAGGTGTCCCTGCCCATGGCAGGGGGGTTGGAATTAAATGATCTTTAAGGTTGCTTCCAACTTGAACCATTCTATGATTCTAAGCTACAAAAATGTCAGCTAATCTTTACCTGGCTAGCAGAAAGGGTTAATTCTTGGTGAGAATAAAATGGGTTATAATTCACTTGAACACTTGGACTGTCATCAGCCAGTTCTGCTCACCACCTGCAGAAAAAAAAAAAAAGGCTTTTCTTGCCAAATCCAAAGTGCATCCACATTTCTAAAAGCTAGAGGAACTTGCAGCCATTTCAGAGTCTCAGCACTGCCCTTCTGGCGTGGTTACAGATTGCAGGAAATCCTGGGGAAGTGGGTAGGGGGGAGGAATGCAACCCCAGGGACCGCTGATTCTCTCGCGTGGATGCTGCACCCACAACAAGAACTTGAGCCTGGCCACAAGGTTGTGCAAGTCTCCTGACAGCCTGGTAGCAAAAACCAAAGCCACCTTAGAATTACTTTGACATCTGCCCCATCCCCGGAAGCATTCCAGGCCAGTTTGGATGGGGCTTTGAGCAACCTGATCTAGTGGAGGATGTCCCTGCCCATGGCAGGGGGATTGGAACTAGATGATCATAGAATCGTAGAATGGTTAGAGTTGGAAGGGACCTTAAAGATCATTGAGTTCCAGCCCCCTTGCCACGGGCAGGGACACCTCCCACTAGAGCAGGTTACTCCCATCCAGCCTGACCTTTGATCTTTGATGGTCCCTTCCAACCCAAAGCCCATCCAACCTGGCCTTTGATCTTTGATGGTCCCTTCCAACCCAAAGTCTTCTATAGTTGTGTGACCTCCGTAGATGCAAGCACTGACATTTTCCATTTCTTTGTGTGACCTCTGTAGATGCAAGCACTGACATTTTCCATTTCTCTCCATATACTGCTAAAAATACCAATTGATGTTAGTATTTCTATTATTAAAATATATTCTTTCTTTACTTCACCTTTATGTTTCTTTACCATATTTCAATTATTAAAATAGATTTCTTTACTTCACCTTTATGTTTCTTTACCTTTTTTTCTCACTTTTGTCTTAACATCCTTTTCCCTACCAAAATTGTAACCAACAAAACTGGGTATGGAAGAGCCAGAGGACGTAGAACACATGCACAGACATGGAGAGATGGATGGCAACGAGGGGATGGGTCAGCAAGTGCAAGCCCCATGCAATAGCCTCCCTGTAGTCCCTGGGACACATCGGCCCATGGTTCCATGTATCAGATTCAGTTCTCTCAATATATAGTGTAGGGCTGGCCTATAATCAGAGGTTTCAATGGAGATTCTTCTATGGGAAGTCAAGTAAGGGTAAATCCTTTGGAGCAGTGACGTCAGGGGGTTGCATATGCAGCCGTCAGGGGCTTGAACTTCTTTCTGTGGCTTGAATGCCATGACCTGTGATGTGCTGCCACTCCAGCATTTAATTCTTTTGGCATTTAATTTAATTTAATTCTGAAGTTCAGGAGATGTGTCAGAAAAATGTGGGGAAATAGTACAAATGGAACAGACTCTACCATGATTTCTCTGAGATTTTTGTAGAGTCATTGCAGGACCAACTTAACCACCCTATTCCTTTCAAACTGATTAACACAATCCGTATTAATAATTACCCCGAAATGGTGACTTTAAAAACTTGCAAACTGGATATTGTGAAGCCAGGGAACGGGAAAAGTTTTGCATGTTTTATGCCACAATATCATTTGGAACATCCATCTTTTCCTCTCTTCCAAAATATGTACTGACATACTTTTTAAAGTACATCACAGAGCACTTAATTTTTCTGTAGAGACTCAAACATCTTAATATCTAGTTCACCATTTTTATGTACCACTGAGCTGGCTGAAAAGCAAGCCTTTTTTTCCTCCTGGACTGGAATAAGTCAGACAGAGGGTGTCAGGTTCAGCTGATGAGAGAATCAGGCTTTTCTTAGTCTTGAAAAATTATTCATCCTTGTAGATTTAAAAAACGCTTCAGTAATTTGCAGGGTATGCAATGCATTTACTTTATTATAGCCAAAATCATGACATCAAAAACGCTGGTGAAGAAAGTATCTCAGAAAGAAAGCAAGAAAATATCAGACCAGTGATTTTGGTGATGATAAGGAAGCCCTTACAATCCAATGAAATTCATCTAACAACTCATTTGATTCAGTGACATGCCCAGTTATTTAGACTCGTGTGGATACATGGGTGGTTTTTGAATTTTCTAGCTTTTTCTGTGTACACATACACGTATATAAATCTATAAAATTAGGTAGCTTTTCCAGAGGCTTTTAAAATGCTGTCCTACTCTGATGCTGTCTTACTTTGCTATGATCCTAGTTTGGTTTCTTTCTATAAAGCATGTAGTGCCACAGAAATGTTGAGTTAGTTCCAACTTTCCTTGCAGTGGGAGGGGCCTTATCAGCACATGCAAAACCTTCAATTGACAAATTTAGGTTGTCACAACAAGAGCAGAAGGAGTACCTAAACCAAACAAATTTCAATATTGTCCAAAACCAGTAAGCTCTGTTTGAAGCCCAACCCCACCTTCTGAAAACCAGGCATTAGCTCATGAAGAAGTAGATGGTGTCTCTTATGGGAAGCACAAACTATCAGAATTTTAGTGAGCATGTTAAAAAGCGAAAAATATTACTTAGGGATCAGGTTTGATGGCTAAGACAATTAGGTTTGTTAAATGTCAAACCACTAAGAGTTTTCTGTCAAAACGCTTCTTATCCAGGGTAAGAACTTTGACAAGTTGGTGTAAACTCCATATTTCCCTTTCCTTCCACACCCTTCTCCCCAGCTGATGATACCAGTAACAAAATAAGTGCCATTGTATTGGGTTACATGGGGGCCTCCTCCATCTCCCTGGCAGACATCTTCTCCATCTTTATCATATCCAGCACAGAACATTTTTCTTGTGACTGGGTTACGAAGGGCAAGCTTGCAAGTGTTCCTGTCCACATAAGGGATTTGAAGCACTTTCATTCTTTTGACTGGCTGCCCACCTACAAACCTCTTCCCAAAGCCACTGACAATTCCAAACGTTTGATTCATCAGAACGTTCTTAGCAAAGTCTTCTTCTGGAAGGCATGCTGGGACAACATCTTCAGAAAACGTGATAGGTTCCTCTAATTTGAGAAGGGCTATATCATTCTCAAAAGTTTCTGCATCAAATTCCGCGTGTGCAATTATTTTTTCCACTCTGTGCATTGATCTACTTGGCTCTTCATTATCTTTGTCCACCATCCCTGTGTCAGATTATTAAAGTAGTTGTTAATAAGACAATACCAACAGTTGCCCCTCTCATTTTTAGAGCAACATAGTCAAACAGGCTTAAACACAGTATAGATATTCATTGTCTTTTAAAACCTTAACATTCTGCATGCAAAAATTTCTGAGTATTATATATATTTAGTCTTTCTCAATTTGCATAAAGTCTCTTTGGGAATTAAATGGACAGACAACTGGAGCTTAGGTAAACATAATTTTTGCTTTCCTCTTGTAGGCTGACTCCAATTTTTATGACTCAGAACACCATTTTTCAGTGCTTAGAAGTTGTGATAAACTACTTTTTCATAAATGACACTAATAAATAATAAATCGGAGGTTTCGGGTATGGAACAGTCTCAGACTAGTATCTACATGCTGTCAAAATAGTTATGGCTCACATCTGAATGAGGCATCTGAAATTCTTCGAGGTTTGGCCAAGACAGGAAATTGCATTGGTGTCATGTTAGACCAATTTAATTACATCAGCTCAACCTTACTTGCTCGTATACCTTCCTGGTTTTTATTTGGCTTGTATCATATACCAGCTATGCTAGGCCACGGCCAAGCTTAAAGAAACTGTCCATTCAACAAAGCTGAACATGTATTTCACTGTTAGTCAAGGGACAAGACGAGGCAGTGAGAAATAAAAAGAAGGTAAGAAAAACTCTTGCACGGAGTTCAGTGTCCTCCAACACAGAACTGTTTCTTATTTTTGTAGTAAAGGGCAAAATGAGAAGCACTTACCAACAAGGACCCCCAAGTTTTTATACTGGTTAACACAATGAGCTCCAGAAAGTATAAAATACTCATTCAGAATTGTCCCCCCACAAAACCAGTCACCCTCCTCATCTTCTACTAGAACAGCCTGCAAAGAGAGAGAAGGAAGATAAAGCACAAAAACACACATACAGAGAAATCCTGAGCAGCCAGCTGAGATTCAAGCAGTTTTTCTGACAGTAGACATTTTCATACATATTTTCTGTCAAAGGTATCCTTCATTCAGAGTTCATGAGAGTTACACTGGGGAGTAGCCACCACAGTGGGAAACTTGTCAAGACAGGCTTTTTTCCCAGCTCAAAGCAGAATTTGCGCATTCATGTTTTTTTTACCAACAGGTTCTGCTTGCTGTTGTTTAAACAAAATTTAGCTGATATTGTAATAGCGCTATTTCTGTTGGGGTTTCTTTTGTTTCTTGGCCACAACAGGACCTCAGGCTGTTCTTCTGATGCTGCAACCTGACTAATGGGGTGGCTGGCAGGGAAGGGGCCCGGTGGCTCATCCAGCTCTACGTCCCATATCTGCAACCCTAATCCTTCCTGGCCTCCTCCTCTCAGCATTTGCTTGATGCTGAAACGAAGGCACAACCTCACTCATGGTAGGAGACCTGTGCAGAATCACACTACTCAAGAGGGGGACAGCCACCCCAAAAGCTGACACCTGGGAATTCTGTCTCAAATCAAGTTAGCCCCCCTTGGGAAGCGGGGATGAGTATGATGAAGAGAGAATGGTCCTGGTGGAGCCTGGTCAGGTGTTAAATATCTCAGGATAAGGGTGCCTTACATGCCATGGGGACACACTGGGCAAACTGTCAGCCTCCCCGGTGACCTCTGGATGGCTGCTTGGGGCCTCAGCGGTTTCCTCATTTTCAGGATGAGCATCTGGACTTGCTGTGGGTCCTCCAACTTTCTCTCGACCAACTTTATGATTTCTCTGAAGTTTACCACACGGGAACTTGACTGCAAAGGCAAAACCAAAATGCTAATACCTGACTGGGAAATACTGGGACTTTGAGGCACATGTCACATGCTCCTGTCCGTAACACTGAGCAAACAGCTGTGAAGGGCTCAGCTTCTGTTACCAGCCTTCACTTTAGCTCAGAGCTACCTTTCTTGCTCATTTAAGCCAACATGTAGGATGTGGAGGACCATGGCCTTCCATCTCTGTGAGGGATGGTGCCTGTGCTGTCCCTGAGGCGCTGAGCCAGGTGACATACAAGGGACAGTAACCTCCAGCAGAGCAGAAGGACAGACAGTTGCTGTTGAAAACAATCTCTGTCACCGAAGTGCCGCTCAACAGAGCTTGTCTGACAGAGCCCTTGACATAAGGGACAGTTTCGTGGCCAGAAAAAATAAATTTGGCTTCCAGTGCACCTTGTGTTGTTTGTCATCGCAAGAAATAATTCAAACCTGTTGTAACATGGGTTTTGCAGTCAAAAGCAGCCCTTAGAGTTACAGATAGGTATCTACAGTGAAGAAAAATGGCTTGCAGGGAAACAGGTCACTTTCAGGGAATCAATTCTTCATGAAAATGAGAGAAAAAGTGCTTAACAGTTCATGAAAAACTCCTTGACAGTAGCCTTTTGCAATTGAATTAGATAGGTAGATGTCCTTATCAGCGGTGGCTCTGCTAGATTTTTCAAGAAATTAAGAAAAACTTTGCAATACGAAAGGACCAGAATGGTTGAAAAATGAAAATCATTTTCCAGTTCTAAAACTCACCCATTTTGAGCAAGTGGGCAAATGGGTTTAGAATTTTCAAAGTACTGAAAAGTTAAACATCTTCCATTGTTGGCACCACTTTTTTTTGTATACCTGGTGTTATTAAATCTTTTGCAATTGGGAAATTGAGCAAAGTATTCTATGTTAGGAATTATAAACTCATGACAGCAATTTGAGATTAAATTGCAAAGCACATTACAACAAATAGCATCAGGCATACAGAAGAATAAACTAACTGGTAATGTTCACTTTGAATGGAGACAAAGCTGATGGATTTAAATTTGATGTCAGTAGTATTCATGTATTTAGGTTACTATAGAAAAAAAAAAGATTACAGAAAACATGTTTTTAGAAGAAAATAGAAGGGCGGGTTATATTCCTTTGAAATGGAACAGGTGGTATTTAAGGGGAAACAAGTGAGATACAACTGCAATCACATTATGTCATTATCACTGAAATGATAATGAGTCCTTGTGAACTCTACATTGTAAAGGGAGAAGTTTCTTTGGTTCCTACTCATTTGGATCTGTAGATATCCAGCACAAGATGGAGGCCTTGAAAACAGACACCAATTCTCACCAATGAGAAATCTAACCCATTCCTTTCTAACAAAATCTCCTGAAGCTTGAGAGGTTTGTTTCAATCTGTGAGTGAAGAGAAATCAGAGCCCCGTTGTAACCCCATATGGCTGTCTACCTGCTGGGACATAGGTTTTGCAGTCTGCTCTGAGAACGCACCCGTTTACACAGAATACTTCCCTGCATTTTTTTGGCCACTGCTCATTGCTCACGGTTGCATAATTTGATGTTACTTAAATTATGACCTTTGGCTAAGATCTTATTAACTTTGTCGGCAACACCTCAAGCAAGCAATGTGAAAGGTGTGAAGAGCTAACATGATTCCTCATGCTACAACAGCACTGCAACACACCAGCAGGTCCCAAACAAGACGAAGATGTGATGTGTGTCCCATAGAAGGAGCTTTAAGTTTGGCTTCATACCTATGGGAACGCAGGTTTTGTTGTCATTGCCCAGGGCATAGCCAGCAGCACAGGAACATACGACTTGGTCATCTTCAGCTTTGCAGAACTGCTCACAGTTCCCATTGTTGACTTTGCATGCATTTGGTATGGCTGCAAAGGGGATAAATTTATAGGCAGGTTACAAACTTGTGGTCATTTAATAAAAGCACAAGCAGCTCATAAAACCTCGCTTGCAAGCATTAGTCAACCCCTCCACCATTTGGGGAAATTTTGTGCAATTCCTGCCAAAGGACTTAGTAACAACAGTTGCACCTATCATTATTTTTAAAATGGTAAGTTGTCAACATTAGGTAGACCACTATTATTTTACATCCTATTCTGCGTTTCCCAGCTATAACTGACAACTCTTTGAGGTCAAAGGAAGGGATAGTCCATACTCACCAGTACCACCATCGTACTAAGGCAAGATGAACATGGGTGCGGGTGAGAGGCTAAAACTAGCAACAACTAAAGTATCAGTAATTAATGAAGTACTGGACTTTTGGTAGACCCTTGCCATATTCCTTTTCCATCTGTATAAAGCTCACAGTACTCACCTGAGCTCAGTCCCTGGCACCGCAAGATCACAGGCAGAATGGGAGAGCTCTTCCTGGCACTAACAGTCTGAGAGCAAGAAGTAAACCAGTCCTAGCAGATGCTGTTTAACCTGTTCCTATAGATTCACAATGAGATTCCACAGCTGGCCCACGCAGCCTAATCTGCTCCTTAACTAGTCTTATAATGTCTAAAAAGTGTTTCCTAATATCTAAACTGAGTGTCCCTCACTGTGGTGGGATCCCATTACTTCTAGTCCTAGCTGTTCATCCCCATGAAAATGGAGATTTCTTGGTTTTATTACATTTTACAAATTTCCTTGGTTGTGTATTGCAGGACCAAGGGTGAAATTTTGTTTATGTTTTTACTGAATTGCCTTCTATTTATTTTGGACCACTGTTCCAGTTTCACAAGGTTGTCTTGAACTCTCATCCCAATTTATGGTAGTCCTTTCAGTCTAGAATGAGCTATAAATTCAGTGAGCAAACACTCTCTTCCATCTTACATGTTCCTGTGGAAAATACCAACTATCTGAGGTCCTGTGTGGAGCCCTGTATGGAGCCCTGCACATTCTGCACGTATAATCTTTCAACCAATTAGTATGGTTTCTCAATCAGAGGTGCACCAAATTTATAGTAGTTTAATCCAGGTCATGTTTCTCTTTCTGTTACAATAAAAGCATTATATAAAATGATGTTAGAAGGCTCCCTTAATGGAGAAATCTGACTTGTACTGCATCTTTTGCAGCCACCCAGCCTGTTATCCTGTCCTTGGGGGAGATTGATGTGATTTGTTCCTAACTAGTGCAACTCAGCAGTTTCTTTTCTCCTTGTTGGGCACAAATAATCTCGTACCTTAGGGAATAAAATATAGGAAATAAAACTATAGAGAATCAAAATCTTCTTCTCCTTTGGGAATGGGCTAACATTCCTCTTGGTCTCTCTTCCAATATCCATAAACTTAGATCAGGCCTAGATTTTCACATCATGTTTATCTTACTCTATTTACTCCTAAGCTTTTCTGGTTTTATGTCAGGATGTTTGCAATTCTTTTATACAGATCTAGATTTTTCTATATGTCCTTCTGGATGTCAAGTCATAAAGGAGCTCATGATTTTACCTAATCCTCCTGTCCTTTCTTGACCTTGACATAGTTTGGACATATGCCTTACACACTTTGGGGTTTTGTGGGTTTTTTTAGAAGTAGCCAGATCTTTCCCTCTTTTAAATGATACATTAATTTTATTCTCTTGTTTTTCTTTACTTCCCTTATGAGCTCTGTCATTTTACAGATATTTTTATTAAAGTAATATTCTGTCTTTGTATTGTCAGCCACTTCTAATCCATTGATTGAAATTAAACGTTGATGAATGCACTCAAAATTTCAAAATTGCTTCCTACATGCTTGTTTGAGAAAATTTTTCTTGAAACATTCTGAATACTCTCAGGGCACCGTATGTCCCATTAAGTATCTTTTCCACCTCTGGGATGTCAAAATCTCCCTCTTACTCCCAGCTCTTGTAATGTTGGTGACTCAGGTGTTTGTTCAGTTGTGTCCAACCAGTCCGCTGTAATCACCAAATGACTTTTACAGCAAAAGTAAACAACAAAGCATGCATCATGTCTGCTGTATGATTCACACGCTTTACTCCACAGAGAAGCACCTCAGGCTCCAACCTCAAAGACAGGTGGGACACTTCCTCAAGTGGAGATAGGATGTTTGTGTTGAGACTCAGACAAGCACAGTGGGTGACGGTGTGGGGTTCTCGTTCCCCTCTGCACTGTTAAACCTTGTGGGGCTCATTTTGTCACCCAACAGCTTACGAATCGATAGTAAGGATTATTTAATTATCACATCTCTTGAGGACGTGAAGAACAACACATTGTTTGTGCTGCCAGTTTGAAAGCCCTGCATATTGACATATTAACTCCGTATTTTACTCTGACACAATTATTTCAGGCCAAAATGTTATGCCTCTAATGACTCAGGCCTGGATATTATCGCACTGCAGCAGACAAATTGGAGCAAGGCAGGTGAGAAAGCAAAGCTACCAGGTTTTCGCTCATGTCACCCTGGTCCACAAAGCACAAATAACGGCATGTAATTACCTGTGTGCTTTAGGCAAAGCCGCACAAAGCCAAGTTAAAGCAAAGGCTGTACCTGTCTGCACCATCTGAAGGAAAAGGAGGACAACGGGAAAAAGCCACATTGTCCCGTGATGACTTGCCGTTGCCATCCTCCGAGCTCACTGTCCGTCTCCCACCCGTTTGTCTGCAGGGCTCTGGGGCAGCTACTAAATGAGAAACACTACAGTACAAAGGTCATCAACACACGAGAAAACAAAACCTCTAAGAGCAAAGCCTGGGCTCAACGTCAGCATGGGACAACATTAAAACAGAAAATAGCCAATGTGCTGCAGCAGTGCCACCCTGATAGTTTGTGGGTGCCTCCCGTCAGCAAAGTCCCTCTCTCCTGCATGGGCAGCATGGAGATGAGTTTACCACCAAGGCTGTGAAACTTGTGTATTTGAGACTCCTCAGGAAGAAGGGACTCCATAAACAAGGGCAGGTTCTGCCTCAGCAGAATAACATGTGGTCACATGGTTGAACTTGGATATGCCTTCTTCACTGTCAAGCATTTGGAACAGGCTGCCCAGGGAAGTGGTTGAGTCACCATACCATGATATAGCACGACGTATTTAAAAGATGTGTAGATGTAGTGCTGAGGGACATAGTTTAGTGGTGGACTTGGCAGTTAGGTTTACAGTTGGACTCAATAATCTTAAAAGTCTTTTCCAATGTAAATGATTCGATGATTCTATGCTACCGAAACACACACAGAGTCTCTTGCCCAGATACATCATCTTGGACTAGGATTGAGCAATACCCTACCTCTTCTGTTCTTCATATTTGTCTTTTGCAAAGCCTCAAAGTGATTGCAGTCTTTACTTACCATCCTCCCTTTCTTCCCTTTCTTCTCAGGACTGGGTTTTCCTTTAAGGCTGAGGAAGCCTGATCACTAGGGGGTAGATTAGAGCTTCTCCCTCCACCATCTTTGGTAAATATCAGCTCTTACCTAAACCAGCAGTGTTTGCTTGCCAAGAGGGGTTCTGGTATTTTAAAACCTACCAGTTTACACATCAGCTCTGTGCTGTACCTCTTGTCTGGATTTTACAATCTCTTCAAATTTTGCTATGTGCAATTACCCCAAAACGATTAGTCTACACCAAAAAAAGGTGTGCTTTAATTCTTTTCCTCTCCTCTCCTCTCCTCTCCTCTCCTCTCCTCTCCTCTCCGGAAGAAGGAGAGATGGAAACCCCTCATGCCCCGATCCTTGTGAGCACAATCCTGCAGTGTCTAAGTGCGTGTGTGTTCACTAGGACTGCTCCATCGTCTCTCTGCTCCTGCCCACACAGCGATGTGTAGTGAACAAGGACCTCCATATCAGTAGGAGGCCAAGATGACTGTGGGTGCAATGGTACAGGATGAAAGGCTCTCTAGGGACAAGTTTCATTTGTAAAAGACATACTCCAATTGCAAAGTCTCTCATACTCTGTAGAATAATGACACTTCTTTTCTAAACACGGGCATGTTGCACACAAAGGTGGACTTTTATCACCCTCTTGCATACTTAGCTGTTAAACCAGCTCTGTGCTTGCTCTCAAGGCCCTTGGCTTGACAGAGACCTATATACACACCAGCTAGTAAAACCCAGCTACCGCCACCATTGCCAGGAGGGCCTCCCCTCAACCACCTCAACACCTTATACAGTCCAGTCTGAGTTTCACTTCAGTCCTCAGGCTTCACTGAAGTAGAAGAATGCCATTTGCACAAGTACAGGAGTAGGATGTGGGTAGCACCTCATCCTGAGGAAGTCTCTTTGCAGAGGAATATTTCACCCTGATGGAGCGCAGGGCAGGCCACCTGTGGGACAAGGGATTAGAACAGGAATCCAGTAGACAGAAGAAGTCAGGGAACAAACACTGCTGCGCAAACATGGGAGTAGGCCAAGTGAGGGTTTATACAGGTGAAGACCATCCAGCTGGGGTAACTGACCCGCAGTCCTTCCTGCCCGCATTTCCTGCTGACTGCAGCAATACCTTGCTGCTCTGCAGAGTTGTATTTCTAGTTTTTCAACCTGGTTTGCTCACACCACCTGCTATACAAAACTAGCCAGTACCAGCTCAAACCCTAAGAGATAATTAGCAGGTGGCCAGTGAAGTTGAGTGTACCTCAGACAACAGGGGACTATAACAGATTGGAGGTGCCTTGGAAAGGCCATCAGGATGGTTAGGGGCATAGAGCATATAATGTACAATAAAAGGCTGAAAGGTCTGGGTTTGTTCAGCCAGGGAGAGCTGCGGGATCTAACTGAAGTCTTCCACTGCCTCAATGGGGATTACAGGGAAGACAGGGCCAACCAGTCCCCAGAGGTTCCCATAGAAAGAAGATGAGGCAGGAGTCAGAGGTTGCAACAAGGAAAATTCCCCTTGGACATGAGAAATTTTATCCACGAGAGTGCTAAAGCACAGGAACAGGTTCCTGGAAGGTAGAAAAAAAATCTCTGCTTCTGAAGTTTTTCAAAACAACATACTCTAACTTTCATGTTAGACATGCTTTGAGCATGGAGTTGGGCCAGATCACATTTGTCTGTCCCTTCCATTGTAAATTTTGCCATGATTTCTGCAACTAGGACTGAAGCTGAAAAGGTTTAAAGAATAATATATGGAGGAACACTACTCCGCATACAAAAAAACCATCTGAATGTGGAGCTTCTGCCTGGAAACCTTACAGCACAGATCAGATCATAGTACCTGAACAGACTATGTGTGGGAAATAATTGGTTGAGTTTGCCTCTTTCCATGAAAATTAGTATATTGGCATCTAGCTTGCCATTTATGAACATCTAGGCCAGAGAAAGTCAATTTTAATTACCTGCCTCCATTCTCTACCTCCTCATCAGCCTTGACATAAGGCGGGTGAAACTTGTCACGCACATTTGTTTAGTGACATCCACTCTTTCTTCACTCTCAAACGAGATTTTGTCTTCATATATTTGTAAACTGACTAGAAGGAATAGATAAATAAAAATTATAGAACGAAAAAGAAATAAAATTTTATTTCAAATGCTGGTGTACATCAATATTGCACCTTACATAAGAAACATCTGGAATAAGTACACGTGAGGAACTTTCTGATCCTCAGCCATATACAATCCAGAATGTGATACAGAAGACAGTGGACATGCACATTTTTTTTTTCTGATGAGCAGAACAGAAGTGTTCAAGTTAAACTAAAGTGAAGTACAACCCATATAAAGCAAAATCCCATTTTAATTAGTTGCTGTGACCTAAGCAGGCAATTTTGTGGAGTATCTAGCATCACATGTTGAATACTTACTTGTGTCCCATCTTTACCAAGCAAGCTTCCCGGCTCCCTTAATCTTCTAAATACACCTGCAGGTAGAAGCTGAAGAGCTCTGGTAATAACAAACTCCCTACCGAGCCATTTGGCTGCAATAGGAGGATTAACTGAAGTCCTGTCCTTCCCCCTTTCATCATGATTAGTGCAGGCTCGTATTATCTCCAGGAGCCTCTGGCGGAAGCACTTGGGCAAACAGAGAGGAACCAAAATGGCAATAAAAAAATAACCAAACAAGCAAACAGAAGACCCCACTGAGCAGCCATTTTGTTTGGGGAAAGCCCCTCACTGTGCAAATTCAAAACACCACCAGCAGACCGCAGATACTTGCTTAAAGCCAGAAATAAAACAAAAAACAAGTTTAGCAGAGGTGGCTAAAAAAAAAGAAGAAAGTTTCCATTAGAGAAGCTGCACCTTGTTAGCTAAGAGAAGGATCAAGAGCCATACCACTAAAACTTTTGTCTCATGACTGCTTTTACCCAGCGTAAGAACCTGGACAGTTTGGTATAGACACCATATTTCCCTTTCCTTGCACATCCTTCTCCCCAGCTAACAATTCCAGTAACAAAATAAGTATCCTTATATCTGGTTACATGGGGACCTCCACTGTCTCCTTGACAAGCATCTTTTTGCTCTGTTTCATAACCAGCACAGAACATGTTTTCTGTTATTGCAAAGTTAGTGGATTGCTTGCAAGTGTTCCTATCAACATAGGGGACTTCAAGAACTTTCAGTTTTTTGGATAGTCGTCCACCTTCAAATTCTCGCCCGAAGCCACTAACCATCCCAGATCTTTGGTTCATCAGAACTTCATTAGCAAAGTCTGCTTCAGGGAGGCATGCTGCGACAACGTACTCGGAAAATGTGATAGGTTCCTTCAGCTTTATTAAGGCTATGTCGTTATCGTAAGTCTCAGCAATGTATTTAGAGTGAACAAGTATTTTGTCCACGGTATGCATCGTTTCAGACTTTTCTTTCTCTTCTCTGTCCACTTCACCTGTAGAAGATTATTAAAAGGGTTGTTAATATGGAGGTAGTATAAGAAATTAAGAACAACCTTGATATAGGAGGAGAGTAGTATACCCATTCCTAACACTTTGCCCAAGCCTTTATACCATACAGGTGAACTGTAAAAATGTATTGCAACATTTATTATTATTAGCAGCACCTGGACCAGTTTCAGTTCTGAGCTTTTGTTTATGGATATTTTTGTACCAGTTTACAGAAAGGCATGAACCGATTCAGTTAAACTGATACAGCTTCGGGTGGAAGCTCTTACAGGAGCTTGAGCCTGGCTTGTATCAGGGAAGAGAAACTAGTATGCATCAAGACAAAAACAGTGCAAATATAAAGTTCTGTTGATCTAGTATTATGCCTGAGTAGTGAAGCACTCATAATTTGAGTCCGTTTCTTTTTCCCCTAGTCAATGTGTCGTGGCTCTCCTGAGTGTTCCTGCAGAAACACATCTGTATGCTTCAGACGTGCCAGGAATGACAAGCTTTCTGAAGAAGCACCACTCTGATGAACACCATGCTAGCCAACACCTCTAGAACATTTGTTCTTAATCACTTCCAACTAGCCAGCAAAGAAGAAAGGGATGCACCATTATCACCTCCCACATCATTTGTCCCTGTTGTTACAAAGCAGGATTCCCACAATAACAATAAATTATAAAAAGGAAAGCAAAACAAAAAGAAGTAACAAACCATAACAAACAAATATTATGAGTACATCTCACACTAGATTTAAAGCACAGAGAATTAGTCTGCAACACATGCTCAAACATCACAGAAGTAAAATAAATAACCGCTTACCTACAACAACTTTGATTTCTTTAGATTGGTTGATACAATGAGCTGCAGTAAGTATGAAATAATCACTCACAATAGTTGCACCGCAAAACTCTTCCCCTTCCTCATTTAACAGAACAGCCTGCAAAAGAAAAAGAAGGAAAGTGAAGAATCAAGAAGAGCAGTTTAACTTCAATGAGCTATAAATAAGTAATTGATTTCTCAACACTCTACATATATGCTTATTACTACTGCATGTACTACTCTGTGGGTGTCTCCTAATATTGCATACACATGTGTATGCTATAGATTGGCACATACTGCTACAGAGTCTCAATTGTCTCTAGGTGATAAAGATGTTTGGCTTCCATGTCACCTCACTCACAGGGCTCAGTAATGTCTTTCAGAAACAAGACACTGACTGACTGAGCAAGGAATGTGCACCCCCAAATCACCTCATTCCTTGGACTTACCACCCCAAAGACTCCTATCCATGTTGTGTTCCCACTTGACCTCCTCCCCCTTAGTGTCCTGAATACAGAAACTCATTTTGGCTAGTCCAAAATCAAGAGAAAAACTTAGATATGAAACTGTACTTGTGAAGCAAATGCGTGCTTTATCTGACATGCTCTCAGGTGTACTACCTAAACGGACGGACAACTGGACTACAACCTGCAAAGCCAACGCTCATGGGCCACCATGACCCAAAAGCCCTCTCCTGTGACAGGTTAAGCAACACCATCAAAAATTGCACAAAGCTTTTCACTTTGACATTTTAAGGCTGCACTTTGCAGAATAGCACATCTGAGTGCCTGGGTTCACGCAATACAGCATACTACATGGGTAGCATTCAGAAGGTAACCACATTAAATGGACAGTTGCCCACTTTCCCTCAGAAACACGTTCTGCTTACGTGCAGAGCACAAACATCAGACTTACCTGCCATGGACATTCGCCAGGACGACAGTCATTACCACCTACTATCCTGGTATCGACATACGGAGTCTTACTACTTGTTTCACGGCCAGGAAGGATGGTTGGGCTTTCTGTGGTAGTAAAAATGTCCTCCTCCAAACTTGTTTCATTTGTGGGAGGGCCATCTTGATCACTAGTGACATTACCATTTGTGGGAGGGCCATCTTGATCATTAGTGACATTACCATTATCAGCAGGTAAAATTGTTGACCTTTTTTTCCTTTTCACAACAACTTTTCCACAAGGATACTTTACTGTAAGACAAGAATGTTAACTTAGAGACTTAGAGACGGACACAAACAAGGAAACTCCTTGATGAAAGCATCTGAATGTTAACTTAGAGACTTAGAGACGGATACAAACAAGGAAACTCCTTGACGACACCATCTTACTATAAATCCGTTAATGCAGCTGGTCTGTTTTCAAAACACTAGCAAAACCTTGGCAGATGCAACAAAAGAAGAAGACGAGAGAGTCCTCAAACTTGTCCATAGGTTAGTCTCTGGACAGTGTTTTCAAGGTATTTAAAATTTAAAATATCATCTTTAATTGTTTACATTCCTGTATTAATGTACTCATTCTTACTAAAACCATCTTAACTAGGAGACTGAGTGAAGTATTTTATTTTAGGAATAATATGGCCCATGACAGCAATTTATTATGAGTTATAAAGGATATAAAAACTGGTATAATGAGTATATGGTTGACTTATTCCTCCCCACAGGTTAACTGAAATCTAAAGTAGAAAAGTTTTTGGGAGCTGCTGTTTTAGATGGAGGGTAGGCTTATGTAAATGAGGTATAGCAATCACTTTTCCCCCGTCAACAGCAGAGTTTACTCAGGTAATTCTGAGAGAGGCACCTTGCAAAGCGTTCCAAATCAGCTAGATTTTGATAAGTCCATCACATCACCTCACACATGGAAGGCTTTGGAAATACAAATCAGGTGGCCTCAGTGTTAAATCTATGTCATGCAGAACACTGATGGTTCAAAAGACATTCTTGAAGTGCGAAGCAGCCCTCACCACCATTGCTATTAGTTTATTACATGACTTCGTACCTGCTGAAACACAGCGTTTGCCATCCTCTGCTAGAACATATCCTTTTGCACAGGAACACAAAACATCCTTCTGTGCACCTTTTTTGATGCTGCAGAACTGCTCACAGTCACCATTGTTTATTTTGCAGTACTTTGGTATGACTACAAAAGAGGTAAGTTTGGAGAAAAACTGTAAATAAACACTGACTTCACAGATGTCGAAGTTCACCAAATTAAACTGCACTCTTTAAACAGGACCTGTATCTCCATCTGTAAAACACCTGAAGCACATCTTAGTAACAACATGACTGGCTAACATTAGCTTATGCCTTAAAAAGCAGTCACATCCACTGCATGAAACATGCTTGCTAAGCCCAAGTGGGCCCAGAGGCCACATCACAGTGACCTTAGAAAAGCAGAGACAAAATGACAGTGGAATAATGGATAAAACACTAAGAGTGAAGTCCAGATATGGGGAAATCCTCGCACAATTCCTCCCTCCTGCCTTAGAAAATCTCAACTTCTCATCACTCCCCTCAGTCCCACGTCTGAACTTCAGTTCCACATCTCTTACTCTGGGGTCACCACTCTTACTTTTGGACTACTGATACATGCTTGAATCATAGAATCATAGGATGGTTAGACCTTAAAGGTTATCTAGTTCCTAGCTCCCTGTCATGGACAAGGACACCTCCTACCAGACCAGGTTGCTCAAAGCCCCATCCAGCCCAGTCTTGAACACCTCCAGGGATGGGGCATTCCCAGCTTCTCTGGGCAACCTGTTCCAGTGCCTCGCCACCCTCACAGTAAATGACATCATTAGGGTAGTAGCTGTATGTCACAGAGATGAGACTCAGGAAGGATTTACACACAAAAAATGATTCCTTGTAAGGCTGAAAAAGTCTGCATTGTCTACTGAAATCTGCTTTCTTTGGTTCTCCACTGCTGTGAGCTAAGAAGGGAGGCTGTACTTCTGTACTTGGGGCAAAGGCTCTTTGATATCAGTTATAGGAATCATATGCTTCTTAGTCTTATCATCACGTTTTGGGGATTCAAGCTCACATGAAGAGGCACTATCATAATTAAGTGTGCTTTCTTTAGAGTAAGTGTAACTTTGGAGCATTCACCGTTGGGTGGGGCTCTGAGCAACCTGAACTAGTTGAAGATGTCCCTAACCCAAATGATTCTAACACCACCCAGCTGTAGAGCTACCAGGGCTTTGTGTTTCTGGCACTGTCCTCCAACTCACTGTTGACTGCCATCCTATTCTATGTATTTTCCCAAGAGGCAAATAATGCCTGTTAAAAAAGCGTTAACTCGCTATGTTTCAGTTCCCTGGGAAAATTCACTGCCATAGTTCTCTAAAGCAGAAACCTACCAAATTCACAGTTCTTGCCTTGATAACCATCCAAGCATGAGCAAGTGTAGGAACCAATTCCATCTTTACATTGTCCACCATAGTGACAAGGATTTGAGCTGCACTGGTTCCCATCTACAAAAACAAACAAAAAACCCAATTATTGGAAGAGCACAAGAATTTTTCAGTGAACTCTGAAAGAGCATTACTTTAATAAGCAATCTTTCATCTTTCCTTTTAAAACGTACGTCCTCTGAGTTGCCACATTCCAGATGGAACAAGGAGTATAAATGCAATCACCAATGATTCATATACACATCCTGTTTTGCAACTTGTTTTTGGTGGCTACTGTATGACAGCACATATGGAAGCCTTTTCTTGTAGGAAGATAAAGTAATACTTCATCGTCAGAGTATACACATCATTTACAGTGAAGGCTGTAAAAGCAGACAGGACACCTCCACGTTGCAACTGCTGTGTGAAGATATTAACCTTTTGGCCTCTTGCAATTCCCTACAGTTTCCACACAACAATGAAAACTCAACTTTTATTTGCTTAAAGGTCATCTCATCCCTTGTGCGTGTCTTTTGCCTGCAGGGCAGTTCATTTAAAGAAACAGACAACAAAACAGACAGCACATTAATCAGAAGATTAAACAAACAAAAATGCTTTAAAAGCCTGGTTAAATCCGTGTGTGCAAGCCCAACTCCTGTTTTGTGCTGCTTACAGTACCAAAATTGTCCTGCTATACCCATTGAGATAGGAGCTTGAGCTTCAAAAAATTAGCTCTTACCTCACGCTCCCCACATCTACGCTGGCATCTCCCACATTTGAAAGGTAGTTCTGCAGCCTGCCTTCCTTTCCATGACCTGGGCACAACTGGCTGAACCTGACTCCAGGGCCCCAGCCACACGTACGTACAGCACAAACTCAGCTACAGGTAGGACAGTGAGGCTGCACTGCATTTGGAGACACGTTCCACGTAGCAGCCCTTTCTCCCACCCCCACAAAGGTATCCCCTGCCCTGATGCTCGCTGTCATGGTCCCACCCATCCCGTGACCTGCTGTAACAAGTGCATTCCCCCACTGCATGACCTTGCTGGGCTCTTCTGCATTGTTTGATGAGAAAAGCAGGATATCCAGAGAAGTGGCACTTGCTAAATAATAATTCCTTGCTTGAGATACATGGTCTTCAAATTTTTGTATTTTGCCACCTGTTCTGCTCCTGTTTGGAGCAGCTGGAAGAAGGGTAGTGCCCACAGAGGAGGCAAGATGCAAGAAGCTGCTCATCCTAAGGATCCAGCTCACCACCTGCATGGTGGCTCTGGCCTGTGACCTCATCTGCTGCAGCTTTATCTGTCACTACCCCCACACCTCAACGTCCCTTCTGTCCCCACACTGGACAAAACCACCACCCCAAATGCTTTGTCTTTGTGGTCTGCCACAGAGGCACTGAAGACCAATGTCCATCCTCAAGAGAGGGAAGGTGAGACCACCATTTACCGAAAGACAGACAGACTCAACGCCTGCAGTACAGCCCCTGGTTTCTGCCTCCTCTGCAGCCCCAGAGCACTCCATTCTCTAGTGGCCTTAGCTAAATAGCATCCTACTGTTAGAAACCATACTTGGTTTTCCCTATACTGTAGTTGCCACTGTGGTAATGAGTTTTATATCAATATTGCACAAGAGCATGGCAAAATCCCTTACTAAAAAAAGAAGCAAGAATGAATTGTTCTAGCAACAAGGCTGAGCGTAGCTGTGGTTTTCAATACTTGTGAACACCAATAAAGCATTCCTGGACTGGGGTTTAAAATGTATGGAATTGGCATTTCCGCTGAGAGCATTGGCACTCATGTTCTGCTGCTCGTATTCTCATGAGAAAATGGTTTGAAATTTTCCACTCCTGTTCGCTGAAACACTGACAGAGGCTTTGCTTGACATTTCAGCCTGTAGGTTGCAGAGTTCATCCCCCACAAAGAGGATTGTGAAAGTCTGCATCTTCTTCGTGGCAACTGTCTTCAATTTTCTGCAGACTCCAAAAGACAAAGCTGAGCTGTCTTTGATCAACATTTTTGAGGTACTCCTACCACGCAAGCTGGACACATACTTTCAAGGAGAACACATTACCAAACACTAACACATTAAAAATATGTCCCTGCATAGTAATTATGAACAATGGAACCCTAATAAATACAACTCAGACTTTTAGAAAAAAACAGAAGAGACTGATGGGTACTATCTGCTAAGCTACTGGCGTATCTTCATGTTCTGTAGAAAACACATCCCACAAAATGCTCTATAATACAGGAATCAACAACATTGTGGCATGGAAGGTGATGCCAAACTGGCAAGCGACACTTTAATAACTTTGTGTTGGCCACAGCATCTAAGGGCTATCCTTATCTATCACTCTTTGCATCTTAAATGCCTCCATCCAGGGCTGCCCTTCTGGAGGACAACTGACCATCAGAGTCACATGCTAAGTTTCTGCTTCTCACTGTCCTTTGCATGCAAAGGGCCATCCCAGCAACTGGAGGCAGCTGAACCTTGCCTTTGAATGAGGTGACTGGGTTCAAGCAACAGCAAGGCAGGAAATCAGATTCCTCCTTCAAAGGAAACACAAAGTGAGGGTGTCCCATGGTGAAAGGAGAGGAAGCAAGGGAGCAGGAAGCGGTTACTTAAGAGGTGCATCCTTTTTAGCGCTGCAATAAGGAAGCTTAATTCTCTAAACAAACACAGAGTGTTTCTTACCAACATAGACGTTCCAGAATTCCTCCTACAGGTAGGTGTGGGAAAAGGGGAATAAAAGGAGACAAAAAGAGTTAGATGAGAATTACTGAATTCTTCAGAAGAATACTAGAGCTTTCACACAGAGGATACTTCCAGCTAACAATTGTTTAAACAAATATTTAAGTTACAGGCACATACTGTGCCTTGCAGCCTGCTATTACCATTTAAGAAATTAAAACCATATGATCCATCTATGGTGCCCAGCTCTACAGAAACAAGTCTCGTGCATTTTTCAGAAATATCTAAAACCCCTTAGAAATTTCCCAATGGGACTCACTCAGCATAAGGAATTTGATTTTTTGCATGACTGTATCCTTCCATCAGTTTTGATGGAATTTTCTTACATTCGTGTAATGCCAAATTCTCAGTCTCCATCCCCCCCTGTACGCTCATCAATGAGGACCTCAGAAATCCTGAGATTTTAAAATATGTTGTCCAATTTGTGTGCTTCTTCCCCTCTGCACTGAGGACTTTAGGTATGCTGTCTGTCCAAGACAGTCCTTTTTAATGACTTCTGACCACCAGGCAGAACAGGCTGTGCTGGTTCTGCTATAGATCAGCCAACCTTTATGCTCTGAAGTACCCTGGCAATGCACCCATGACTCCCCACCCAGGTCATCTCAGGGCCACTCCAAGAATCAAAGCCACAGGATGGTAGGGATCGGAGGGGATCTCTAGAAATCATTTATTCCAACCCCCCTGACAGAGCAGGTTCATCTACAGAAGGTTGCCCAGAGAAGGAGACTCCACAATCTCTCTGGGTAGCTTGTTCCAGTGCTCTGGCACCCTTGTTCTGGCCATCGTGTAATGCTAAAGTGAAATGAATCTGGCCTTAACTCCAGTTTCAGGGCGGTTCTTAACTGCCACATAGCTACAGCTGATGTTCCCAATTCCCCTCCACCACCCAGTCACTTCAAGTTTTCAAACATCACCTTTTCTACTGACCCCAATTGCTCCAGATGTTCAACTCTCCCTTGAGCTTGGGAACAGATCACATTTCTGTCTAAAGGTAAGCAGCCGTCAGGGTAGGGAAGGTGACCCAGTAGTCACGCATACAAAATTCATCAGGGTAAGGAAGGTGACACAAGAGTTACACGTACAAACTTAACTCCATGTGGGCAATTTAACATTAAGGCACGTAACAGCTGCCCACAGTACACATTCTGTCAATTCAGACAGGGAAAAAGAGAGCCACAACATGATAAGCACTGCAAAGCTGCTTGAAATAAGTTCAGCAAAATTCTCCCCTGAAGTTCCATATCAGCATTTGCCTTCTCAACCTTCCCATGGATTCTCTACCTAGGAACTATTGGACATAGTCATGACACTCAGCTATGCCAACCCAGACATGGTGAACATGATTTCTAACATGGGTAGTATCAAATCATTTAAAGGTCAAATGTCTCACAATGGCAATTAAACAGATCAGAACAGGTGAAAGAATGGAGGCTTTAACATGGGCTGGCCTTGCAAGAGCTACATTAAGACTGTCATTGTATGTATATGTCTTAGCAATTCCAACCACAGCCAAAACCACTATTTATTCTTTGTGTTAAACGACTGAAAGCAACTTGTATGTTCTGATGCCCAGACCTTAATACTATTTCATAAACCTGAAATATATAGATCTATGTTTCATATTAGTTCATCCTTACAGTTTTCTCCTGGTCTTCAAAGGCTTCTCTTGCTTCTTCTTTTGAGCAGCGCTCCTCATTGCATTCTCTTTCAATATTCCCTTGCTTCATTTCCTCAAAAAAGGAGTTAGCGCGTTTTGATCTTTGCAAGAACTTGTCAGCATTTTCTTTCTTGATGAATACTAGACAACAGAGAAAATGATACAGGTGGCAGGTAACATTTGGTGGTGGTGAAGAGTCATTAGAAATAAGTAATGTGGAAACAAAACCAAAAGAGACTCCCTCTCACCACTCTACCCATAAAGCAGCGTTACCTGTGAGGTCAGTCCTCACACAGGCTGATATATCTCAGGATCTCTCAGAGCACTCTGAGAATCAGTGACTCCAGGACAAACTGTAGGCGCCAAAATTTTTCTCCTACTGCTGCAGGATTATGTTTCTGTTGCTCCTGCTGAAGACTCCCATCGTAATCAGAATGACTTTCCCTGAAGGCCAGGGATACTGCTTTCCTTGGTTTGGTTTTAAAGCTGACAACCAGGCAACACCACCACCTACTCCAGGTACTTGTGGTGCAGAAACTAAATGACACACAAACTCAAGATGCAGTAACTTATCTATTGACAGATGGGAAAAGATGTTTCATGGTCCAGCCCATGTATGAGACCCACTGCCTTTCACCACCCCAAATCCCATTGCACTGCCCTGGGGTCTTCCTTCCCTCTTAACAAGACTTTCCAAATTCCTGTAGTAATCATAGAATCCTAGAACCATAGAATGGTTTGGGTTGGAAGGGACCTTAAAGATCTTGTTCCAAACCCCCTGCCATGGGCAGGGACACCTCCCACTAGACCAAGTTGCTCAAAGCCCCATCCAGCCTTACTGATACGTGTGCAGGTAGAAGCCAAGGCAGCTGCGTTCTAAGATCTAACAAAAAACAGAAGTAAATGAACATCAGCGTTAGCAGGAAAGTACAGCCTGAGCTCAGTTTGCTGGGTTGCTTTATTTTTTAAAAGCTTGGTGTGACGGAGGCGTGCGACCTTCTCTCTTCAAGGTCAAGATGCAGGTACGTGTTGATTTAAACAGAAGGATCAGAGGCATTAAACTCAGCTCAGCCACTTGGCTGCATGAACAATAGTGTTACTCTGCAGTGACATGTGCACACATTCCCAGATAGGAAAGACAGGAACAACACAAGATTAAATAAAATGCCAGTTATCCTGTGAAAAACATACACTCTAGGACTAAAGTTTGCAGGGTCTGGCAGCTGGCATTTAATTCTGTTTTGAACACCTGGAATTTAAAGGGAAGATAAACTTTCCTGTCACAGACTGGAATGTAGAAGACAGTGCTGCAGATGGGACCTGAAGGCCAATGGCTCACGCTCAGTGGGCAGCTTGCACGTACCTTCTGGCACATTCTTCGTGCAGCTCAATTGAGCTATGAACAAACTTGATGATTAGTAATCATAAACCTTAATATCCTCTAAACAAACACAGAGGGGACTTACTCTGCTTTCACTGAAACGGGTGGATCAGCAAAAGGGAGCCAAATTCTGCCAGTGATATTTATATTAATCAATCCCACTGAGCCCACAAGCACTTTGGAGCCCTGCTTATTCTGAAAGGCCCCTTGCAAGGAAGGCTTACAGAAGTGCTTGTAACTTGTAGCTCAACAACTGTTAGTTCATTCACCCACTGTCTTATTTGCCCTTAAATCCCTCTCTGCAGGGACAGGAAAGTGACAGGACGCAGCCGGTGGGGTTATCGCCTCTATATTCCTTTGCCTCCACATCACCCGGCCAAGAGGATGTTTTTGTAAGCTTGAACTGGCCCATCAGTCTTCTAAGGCTGGTGGTTCTCTTTCCCAAGCTTTCCTTCATGCTTTCCTCTCCGGGGTCCTCAAGGAGAAACAGGCATTGGTCAACTGAAGTAGGATGTTCCAGAAAGGGTGCAGAGGACCTCAATTCAAAGCCCAAGCGGGCTGACTCACTGAAGGAAGAGTTAATGACTTTGGAGAAGTCACTTGCGGGCGCTGCTCTGGACTTTGGTGTTGACCCGGGCAGCACAAACAGAGGATGGCAGGACGTGTTGCCCCTCCACAGCCCCTCCACGGTCAAGTGCACCCAACCGAGCCTTGTCCAGTCTCCCCCTCACAGAGGTGTGAGCACCTCAGGCTGTGAGGCCAGTTGTCCTCCCAGTGCAAATAGCAGGGAGGGCCGGCAGTCTGGTTTTCCAAGGGGACGAGGACGGGGATACAGGGAAGGGAGAGCACCCTGGGAAAGGTCGTGGGGACCCGCAGCGGGACATGGCACCTCCAGGGCTCGGACACCTCCAGGTGCCCCCTGGCAGCTCCCTGCCCCCAAACCGGGATGCGCTGGGGGTGGGGGGGCACAGGTGAAGACAAACCCTCGGCCGCTTTGATAGACGGAGCCCCCGGGGAAGGCGAGCCTTGGGGTGCCCCCGCTCCCGCCCCCCCCTCACCCACCGCGGGGTGCGACACCCCGGCCCGCCGCGGCGACCCGCCACCGCCTCACGCCTTCTCCCCCCCCCAAAAAAAAGTCTGTGAGGAGGGGGACCCTCACCCCCCCAAAAAAATACACAACGGTGCCGCCTTACTGCCGCCTTCAGCCCGCAGCTCGCCCGCCAGCGCCGCGCAGATGAGGAGGAGGAGGAGGAGGCGGCCGGCCATGGTGGCGCGGAACCCCCCGCTGCTGACGGGCCGCCGACCGGACGGGACGGGACGGACGGGATCCGAATTCCTTCACCCCCCCTCGGGCGGGGAGAGACCGGAGCGGCGTTGCTTCACCCTGCCCAGATACGGCGGAAGCACCGGCGAAAGGGGGAAGCCGCCGCGGGATGTCTCAGCCCAAGGAGCAGGGGAGGGGAGGAGGAGGAGGAGGATGATGAGCCTCCTCTTATTTCTTTTCTTTTCTTTTTTTTTTTTCCCCCAAGGAAGCCGGCTTTTTTTTTTTTTTTTTTTTTTTTTTTTTTTTTGCTGACTCTTATTGGGACCCACTTTAGAGACACGTGCAATTGGGCTGTGCTCTCAGCAACTGCGCTTTGAAATACTTCAAAGCCAAGCATCTAAGGGGGAGGGTGGGAAAAGGGTTCAAAATCACCCATTGCTCTGCAGAAACCGCCCTCGGCAGCTCCCACCCGTCTCTCCCACATCCCAACGCCATCACCTGCTGGCTCCCCGCTTTCCACACCCGCTGCCCAGCGGCCTTGGCCTGCCAGGAGCCTGCAGCCATCCCCCCCTTTTTCTTTTGGAGGGGTTTCCCTCAGTTATGCCCGTCTCTTGTTTGCGGAGGAAGGGAAGCCATCCATCACTTTCCAGAAGCAAAGCCCCAGCCCGGCGCTGCCCCGAGCTGGGGCAAAGCCAGGAGGCTGCCACCCCCCAAAACCCACACCACCCTCGGCAGCTCCCACCCATCTCTCCCCCATCCCAACGCCATCACCTGCTGGTTTCCCCGCTTTCCACACCCGCAGCCCAGCGGCCTTGGCCTGCCAGGAGCTGGCTGCCATCTCCCCCTTTTTTTTTTGGAGGGGTTTCCCTCAGTTATGCCCGTTGAAGTCTCTGCGTGCTTGTGGAGGCCACGGCTTTGGTGCTTCCAGAGCCTGCTGCTGGGTTGCCTTCATCTTCTTGGCTTGTTTAAGCAGGCAGTTACATTGAAAATATACCTAAAAGCCAGCTTTGTTTTGAAAAAAATCACTCCGTGCAGTCATTAGTACTGGTTGTTTTCTTTTGGCATTTTACCCTGTTTCTGCAAAAATGATGATTTGTTCATAAATGCCGTTATTTACACAGGACTTTTACAGGGAAGAAATCATCCTATGGAGCATGGAAAATCATAGAATCACAGAATGGTTAGAGCTGGAAAGGACTTCAACAATCATGTAGTTCCAACCCCCCTGCCACCTCCCACTAGACCAGGTTGCTCAAAGCCCCATCCAGCCTGGCCTTGAACACTTCCAGGGATGGGACATCCACAACTTCTCTGAGCAACCTCTTCCAGTGCCCCACCACCCTCACAGTGACAAATTTCTTCCTAATATCTCACCTAAGAAACTCTTTCAGTTTAAAACCGTTACCCCTCGTCCTATCGTTACACTCCCTGATAAAGTTTCTCTCCCCATCTGTCCTATAGGTCCTCTTTAAGTACTGGAAGGCTACTATAAGGTCTCCCAGAAGCCTTCCCTTCTCTTCTCTAAGCTGAAAAACCCTAACAGTCTCAGCCTGTCCTCATAGGAGAGGTGCTCCAGCCCTCTGATCATCTTAGTGACCCTCCTCTGGACTTGCCCCAACAGGTCCATGTTCTTCTTATGTTGGGGGCCCCAGAGTTCAACACAGTACTGCATGTGGGCTCTCCCAAGAGTGAAGGGAGAGAATCACCTCCCTTGACCTGCTTGCCATGGTTCTTCTGATGCAGCCCAGGATGCAAACCCCCAAACTATTCTAACTTGAGGGGTCTGGAAGATTGTTTTGCAATGCTGAGTGCCTTGTCTCAGTGAAAATGAGGTTTTATTTGCTCATAGTCTCCTTCCTCCCTGGGAATGTATTCTGCTATTCTAGCACATATGCTTTCCTTCTAGGAGTAACAAGAACCTCTGGGGTATGTTTTCATGCTGTAAGACCTCTTCTTTCTCAGGTGTCTGGTATTTGCTGCTTTTCCTAATTCAGTTCACCTCTTAAATGAGGAGTATACCATTTTTCTGTATCAGTAAAGCAGGTTATAGGATGTTCAGTATTGCATGGTGTATGTACCATACAATGTCCATGGTTTCCCCTGATAATAAAGCATGCTCAATTGTAAACATCCTACTTGCTGAAAAGCTTTTATGATTGAGCTGATATTCATAATAATTGGAATGAACCCAAAGTCTAAGTTTTGCATAAGATACTTACACTGTTTTCTGATCTCCTGGTCACCTTTATCTATGATCTCCCTCACCTTTTCACTGTTTTCATTCTTAGATTAGAAGGTACATTTTTTAATGGTGTTGATGGTGTTTTCAGAGCTCTTCAGGCCCTACCATTTACGCATTAACACTTTAGAGAATGACCTTTGGCCAATGTTTTGCAGATGGACAGACATTTATCTTATTCTGTTTTTAGATCTCAGGACAGACAGTACAATTTAGATTACACTGGGCAACAAATTAAATATTCCCTTTCATTTGTCCTCTTCTATATTGATCAAGCATAGTACCAAAACAAAGATTGGATTACATCTATGGTGTTCTTCACCACTTATAAATGTAGGGTTAAATATTACACTTAATAGCCTTACTGCAATAATGCTTGGTGTAAGAAGACTAAAATCAAGTTTTCATAGCAGACTTGTAAATGTGGAATTAACTTTTTCTCAGCTGTCTTCTCCTGGAGACTGTCTACAGTTCCTCCCCCTCAAATGTACCTGTTGCCACTGCAACTGCTGGAGAAAGCTACTTTAACATAAGCTAAAAGAAACACTTTTTCTATTTCTTCTATTGCATCATTACATTACAGGACCCAGCGGCGTAGGAAGTTGCAAAAGCTAGAAACATAAGTGTGTTCAAAAGAGATTGCACACATTTTTGGACAACAGGGTCATTCTTGACTATTCAACCTAATGCAACTTCTGCCTCAGGAAGTCTGTACATCACTGATTACCAGAAGCTGAAAGGGTAGCTGGAGGAAGGAGCTTGATGTGTTGCTGACAGTCTTTCTCTCAGCATCTGGCTCTGTCCTTTAGTAGAAAATGGATGCAGAACGAGAGGGACTCTGTCCAATTTGCTGTGGCCATTCTGTGCCCGCTTGACAAGACATGCAAATTTACAAACAATGCTGATAGGGAAGTTATTTTATATATTCAAGTAGGCATTAGGCTCATTTCAAATCATTAATAGTGGTGTGGGTATCACATGTATCACATATCTAAAATAAGGAAGGAATGCTTTGATAGGAAAATGGCACAGAAGGATTGAGGGGCAACAACATGATCTGGAAATGCTCTGGTTCACCATCGTTAATCCATTTGCTGCTTCAACCAGTTGATGTATTTGGATACCCTCGTGTAAACCCCATAGCTGCCTTTAACAGCACAGCCCTTTCCCCAGCTGACAATCCCAGTCAGAAACCAAGTGTTCTTGTACTTTGTAGCATGAGGTCCACCACTGTCTCCCTTACAGGAGTCTTTAACGCCCATCAGGTCTCCTGCACAGAACATATTCTCTGTAATATTTAAATCGGTCTCCTTTTCACATTCTTGTGTCTTTACACGTGGCAAATCAATTCTCATCAGAACAGAAGAGGTGGCACCTCCATCTAGTAGGCGTCCCCATCCGCTCACTGTGGAGAACTTGATGGAGGACAGTTCATGCACTGCAAACCGTTTTTCAGGCAAACATATCGGCACCACGTAATCGGTGAGATTCACAGGTGTTTCCAGGCGCAGGAGGGCAATATCGTTATTGACTTGTCCATTTATGTATCTTTCATGAATGATTATCTTGGCAACTCCACTTTCTTGCTCGGTTTTCTCATCATAATTTATTGCATGTTCACCTGGAAAAGTTGTTAATCGCAGGTCATGTCAGGCAGCTCCTTGATTCCTCAGAAGTTTGTGAAGATAGGGGGTTTCTAGTTCTTAAGAACAATTCCCTTATTCTACCAAAGCCTGCACTTTTTTGTCTTTTACTCTGGTTTGTCAGGATGAGGAGTTGCCACCACAGCCCCAGCTCGATAACATGAGGAGGAAAAGATACATACCCAGTCTCACCCGAAGATCTTTAGGATGAACATGCTCCAAACAGTGAGCTGCCGTGACTACCCACTCTGGAGAAAGCAGGGTACCACCACATGTTTCTTGCTGATTTTGCAGTATAAGGGCCTGGCAACATAAAACAAATTTACGTCTTACATCAAATGTGCGCTTGCCCTGAATCCCAGTAATCAGGTTTTATATTGCTTCAGTATCCCACTTTATGCAACTCCATTTGAGAATATGATGCTGACTGTCTGGAGAATTTAGGGAGGGGGGAGTCTTTCCATTGACATTTTCTCCATCTTGTAGTATGGACCCTGCCTATTATGACCAAGAGCATATCCCTCCGAGCTGCAGCTAAAATTCTTGGTGGCAGTAAGGTTGAAGACTAAGGGGTCAGGAGACAGAGGAGGTTGTGTTACCACTCCACTCCTATGAAAGCCAGCACTCCAGAACAAAGCTAAGATGCATGACTGAAAAAAAGGTGGATCTGCTGGCTATGGATGAACACAGAATTTCGTTATCCAGACCTGGCACTTCTTACGGATTTTTAACATAATAAATTCAAAACAATGAATTTAAGACAGTGGTTTCATAAGGCAATGAAAGATTTCTGAAGACTCACTTGCCATGGACATTCACCTGGAGGACAGATTAAACCACCTACTATTCTCCCCCGTGCGGTTGCATTTTTCTTTGCCAGCACCGGTATTTTTCCACATGGGTATTTCACTGAAAAACAAAAAAATGAAAAAAAAAATCCATAGGGCAGAAAGCATGATTTTATTGCACTGAATTCACAACAAAATGTGCAAGGTCTTCAGTGAAGGTATGTTAGCTGAAAAACTGGTTTCTAACTGGGAGCATGGGTTCTCAAAAGTAATTGAAAGAGCTCAGCCCAGGTCCATATCGTATCATTGACATATATTGACCCACCACATGAGTTTATAAACAATATACCTGCTTAAGTTGTACGTCAACACAATGAGGTAGAAGTGACTCTGCCAAGCTTTGTAGTCTACATATTTTCAGCAACCTGCTGTCTTTAGCTCAGTGGTACTAAATGCACAGCATCCATGGCATGACACAGGCTTAAGTGTGGGATGTGTGGCTTGCTATCGCTTGTTTGGGTGGACTGAAGGTCTTCTAAGAGCAGATGCTATGTCTTCTGGTATGTCCCCCAGGAGACTGTGCTTAGTTTGCTTGGGTCCAGAGCATCCTTGGTTCTTCCAGACTGGGCATCTCAGTGTAAGGTCCATTTTTAGCCTGAGCAAGCACGTGAAGGTTGGCAATAAGAGGGTCAAATCGTGAGGACTGAACCTGAGACTGAGCTGCAGTGCAGAGGAAGCCTTGGTGTTTTCAGTACATCCTTCACCCAACAGAGTTTTCCTTTCAAGAAGCAGAAGGTCTACCTTTGGGGGGTTTTGTGTGGCATGTGGCTGTGTGATAACTGAACACACACCGTCCCTTACATCCAGCAGTCACTCTGCCATAACGCTGTGAGGATGAGGCCTTTGGGAGCTAGGGCCAGTCTATGCCGAGCTGAATCTGATGTCCCCAGGGATCTGTAGTAGCCTGAATGTGCCGGTTACTTCACCTGACGCAAGGATAGCTTAGAGCCTTTACAGGAACAGGCAAGGTATGGAGAAACAGGACTGGCTGGTGGAAGGTCGGCATAGACCGAACACAAACCCATACCCTCTAACGCAAGGACAGTTTGGGTGTTTGGAAGGGACATGGTGAGAGATGACAGAAGGATGGTGAAGGGACTGGCAGTTACATGTTTTTGTCTCCTTCCAACACACTGTGAGTGCTGTGGATATTTTGGTCCCCAAGAAGCAGGCAGCTACCAATACATCTTTCTCGCAGGGGAAGAGACGCTGAAAAGCCAGCGGGGAATATTGAATTCACTGTTGTCAGCTTTTAACAAAAGCAGCTTCCCCATCATGTGATACTGCAGAATCTGCTAATAAGGGATAAGCACGTTAACTAAACATTGTTTTCTAATGAAATTGCGGCTGTTGGGAGCGAGGTTGTCATTATCAGTTCTTTGCATGAGTGCTCCACTGAGGTGTGTGCAGGGGGGCATTTCCCCTCAGAATTACTTTGCATGCTCCCTGCAGCTCTCTCCGTTATTTTCACATCCCCAGGGGGCTCTTTTTCCCCTCTAATAAAGTAATTGAAGTAGGCATCTGCAATAGAGTCAGGTGCCAGCTTATGTGTTGGAAAAATAATTGACTTGTGCTATGCTACTCCCAGTTGAAATTTACCGTGTTAGATGAGTAAGAGAAATATCTAGCTGTAGTGTCTAGAGGAATACCAAAAGTGTATTGGTTCTGCTAAATGGGAAAAAAAATAAATTTTAAAATAACTGATTTTCTCTCTTGACTCCTGTGCTGAAATAAATATGTTAATAAAACCCATTCTCACAAATTCAGCTTGGAGAACCAACAGTAGAACAATGCTGCTCCAAAAATATTTTCCCAAAATATTTCACCTGTGGGGCCAGGAAGGAGGGGGTCCAAAAGGCTCCTTGCTCGCTGTGCCCACTTCCCCAGTTGTGTTTCTGGGCTGCTCGACTTCCACCACCAACCCAAACCTACTGCTCTGGACTCTGCCCTTGAAGAAGAGGTGGGGAGCTGCTGGCTCAGGGTTATACCTCGCACCTCCTGATGTGAACATGTTGAAAACTCCTCTTCCGGAGCTGGTTTTGACTTAGCACTGGGTCAGGAGCATCTTACCTTGGGGGATGCAGGACACGCCGTCACTCCCTAAAGCGTAATCGTCCGCGCAGAAGCACACTCGTTTTTCACCCCGCTCGTCGGTGCAGTACTGTTCACAGCCACCGTTGTCATAAATGCACTTCAGTTTGTCGGCCACCGCTAAAGCCAGAGAAAGAGCATTTAGGTTTCCAAATGTGGATTTTGGTGCTTAACCTGAGTCGATTGCAGCTTGAAATGTTGTCAGGGAAGCAAGGCAGCAAAGTGGATTTCTGTGATTTATGTGCAGCGACTGCACGAAAAACACCTTCCATTTGGCAAAAGCGAGGCAGACCTGGGTCTCCAGGGGTTAGGGAGGAAAAGTCTATGCCTTAGAAACATGCACCTAAAATTAAATTGGTCTGCATTTATACAGTATCTGAGTTGTTTGGAGGTGTTGCAATTGTGTGGTAACCGCCATCATATATGACTGAAAAATTATAATTTTTTTTTTTTTTGCCATTTGGCAGAAGGATGCTCTTTCAGACTACCCCATTAGACTCAATCAGTGTGTAGTCCTTGTTTGGGCTCGGTGTGTCGTGAGGGTGTAAGTGCAACACTCGGTATGCAGAGCCCACTGAAATCAATGGAAAAACTTCATTAACCACTGGACCTGTCCCCTCAGGCTTTCTAGGATACATGTGCAGCGTAGTCCCTATTCACATACAGCACCGATCTTCTAAGGCAAAGTGACTTCAGCACTTGGGTAGGAACAAAAAAAATCTCTCCATTTCTCTCTTTTTAGTGCACAAAAGGCAGTTTTTGTTATTTTTTTTTACAAAGTCATCATAGGGTAATATTCTCCTTTTCTCCCAGGTGGTGCACAAAAGGCAGTGTTTTTGTTTTTTTGTTTTTTTTTTACAAAGTCATCATAGGGTAATAATTATCTTGCTGCCTTGCAGTGCCTGACTGCCAGCTGGTTGGATCCATCACGTGACACCGCGGGCAGCGTGAACAGTAGCTGTCACGGCCAGAATGATGCAGAACGATAACGACTGCTACTATTTCCCTCAAATACCTTGCATTTGAGTTAATAACGGTGTTTTTATTTTGTTAAGCTATGCCAGAGCTGACCTTTTTCGCAGCTTTTGCCCTCATATTCGGCGGGACAGCGGCAAACGTAATCCTGAAACTGGTCGTCACAGCTCCCGCCGTTCTGACAGGGGTTGGAGTCACACTGGTTAGGGTCTGTAAAAACATGCAGGGTCAGTCTGGCTCACGTGAAGAGCTGCAGCAGCGGGAGCATTTTCACAGCTGCTGGAACATTCCCAATGGTCATACCGGAATAGATGTGCCAGAACTCTTTCTGGAAGAAAAAGATGCGAGATTTAATTAAAGAAAAATGAACTCAGGTCAAGTCCTGCAGCCCTTGTAGCACAGGATGGATTACACACAGCCACAGTGATACCCTTTTTGCCTTTATAATTTATGACTGCTGATATCCATAAAACATTCTACATTATTTTCTACATTCTACATTATTTTCACATACCAACAGAGAAGGGCACTGTGTAACACACACAAATAGGTTATCCATCAATAATCTCCGTACAGTCGAGGTGGGATTGTGATGTTGCACAATACAATAATTTAAGTTATTGTCAGGCCAGGAATTACTGGGGGGGCTGGGAAGAAAACTTAGAAAGCATCCACTTTCCCACCACCTCTCAGATAAGTATTGCTTGGGGTGGCCCATGCAGAATGCCCTCCTGCAACTCGTTGCTGCTGCCTCTCCCTCCTATAGATATGAGAGAAAGATGCAAACAGCAGGGCACAAAGTGCTTTTTTTTTGCTCTCACAGTTTAAAGTCCTTGAGTAGGGGGAGTCCATCCGACAGTGAGTGCTCACCCAGCCCCGTGTTACTTACTGTCCTTTCATCATCACGGTAAATCTCTCTTGCTTCCTCAAAGGAACACTTTTCCTCCATGCATTCTCGCTCTAGTGACCCCAGCTTTATCTCTTCGAAGAAGCTGTTGGCTCGTCTTCTCCTTTGCAAGACGCTGCTTGCCTCCTCCTGCCTCAGAAACACTGAAAAAGAGTGGCACGTTCTGTTTGTTGTACAGCTGGGCTCTCCAGATGGAGAGGACGGGGGGATAATTTCCCCCCAAAAGCTTTTCTGCATCCCAGGCAGGGACGTTTCTGAGACGCTGTAGAAAAGAAATGTGAAAAGCTTCCTTTCTCTGGCCCGCCCCCCAAGGTAAACTGGCAGTGTGGGATTACAGAGCCCCGTGGCTGAGAGAAGATGGTGTGTTACACCAGTGGTGTACATCAGCAACTTCTATGGTACCATCACGTGTCATAAAGTAGGTCTCACCATACACAATTCTAGCAGCTGAAAAGCATGTGTTGCTTTATCCTGCACTGATGTACATGGTAACACCTGATTTTCCTCTACTGACTACAATAAATCACGTGGTGACAGGTGGACCACAGTCACCCCTTTACCTACAGTCACATGTTGTCTCACACCCCTTCACTCTTTGAACCTGCAGAAGGGACTTAACCCACCATTAGTAGACCACGATTTTAAAACCACTGCTTTAATGTATTTACCTCTAGTTTTCTTCTGTAAAAAAGGCTATGGTTAGTACATAGGAAGGCTGGACAATGCTGTTTGCGTTTCCTAGTGTCACCTGTGGATGGCTGCTAGCTGCTGCTGGAACCACAGACTACGGCTTGTGGGTCTTCTAAGCCTACAAGGTCTTCTCCCTGTGTGTCTCTGCCACACTTTGGAAGGACATTGGGTATGCAGGTTCAATAGCAGATGTGAGCAGTGCTCACATCATAGAGATACATCAACTTCCAGCTGACAGAAGGCTACACCGAAAGAGCTGATGGCACTGTCACCACGCTGACCTGCTCCTCAGCTTCAGGATACACGCACATCGCACAGCTATGCCCTCCCAGTATAGCTCAGGATAATGAACAAGGGGTCCCAGTGCTGCGGTGTACTTTTGCTCCATGTAGTACACAGAACAAGTCTTGAAATAATTAATTCTGCATTTTTTTTCCCCTCATGTCAGTAGGGGATTCTGGAGCTTCATGACAACAACTTACATTTCAGAGGCTGGGATTGTGGGTAGATTTGGGAATTAAGGCTGATGTATATCACCTGCCTTTCCTTCTGGATGTTCTTGACTACATGACCCCTGAGAGAGCAGGAGTTACCTCCTATCTGCTGGAACGGCCCTGAGGTGATCACTGAAGGATGAGACTTGTGTATGTCCTCACCAACACGCACACAAACATAAATCCTGAGAGGGTTTACTCCAGTCTGGTGAGATGTCTCTAAACTTCTTTGTCTAATCATTTGCTGAAGTCCATGCAAAATAGTGGTAATTTTCCCTATATTTCAAAGCGACTCGGAGGAATAAAATATTGTGTGTCGTGCACTGAATTTATCCCAAGGTGCTTCATAAACATTTGCCCATTGTAGGAATTTCAGCTAGGTCCTTCTGCTGACGTTTCAAAGTTAGGCTGTGTGCATTTAATATGACTTTCTTTAAAGGCTTTTAATTATCCTTACACTGCAGATACATGACACATGTATCAGTGCATAGGCACAAACTCTGACAGTGCCAGTGGGGACATCCTCTGCTTTTATTCTGGCATTCTCCACTTATTTACATTGGAACACTTTTGACTTTTTGCTACATATTTTTCCCGCTTTGTTCACTGCAATGCAGGAGATACAGTCAGTGCCCAACTGGGAATCTGAAAGCACTGGGGCTTCCTTATTAATTTGGGAGCTGATTTTCAGACACGAACTGGAGCCACCGAAGAGCTACCACCTCACCACCACCTACTGCTGCCAGAACAGGCTGGATCCTCACCTCTTAGTTTCCCATCAGCTGAATGACAGAGTATTGAGTATTTGCTCTGGAAAATACCACAGTTCAATATGAAATAACAATAAATCTGTGCAGCGTGATAATAGATCCAGTTAGCAGTCTAGAGGGGCTTTTCCTTAATTAGCAAAATAAGCCTGTGGATGCCATCACTGAAAGCAAACAAGAGCCTTGAAATATCTCACAGGCACAACATGCAACAGTGCTCAAAACTTGCAATGAGAACTACATCTGAGTAACAGGAGAGAGGCCCCTTGCCAGTAAACAGAACGACAGCCGTATCCTACGACATACCTGCATCCAGAGAAAGAGGAATCAGTATCGGGAAGCAGAGGAACAGAGCCACACGCTGCCTGGAAACCATGATGAACCCTGCAAGCCAGCGTGTCCCAGTAGCGTATTGACATTTCAGCAAGGACTGTTTGGCCAAAGAGCTCAGCTTCAAATGCTGGGAGCCAGAGGAGGGGCCGGCGAGTCATGGAGACAGAAAAAGACCCATGACAGACCGGCGAGCGGAGCAGAAGGGCACGTGCAAATCCTGAAATGTGCCCTTTTCACACAAGCAGACCCGTCACACTCCTGACCTGTGCAAAGGCTGCGCTGATTACACAGGCTGCTGCCCGGGGCCTTCATTTTCTATCTGGGAAACGTAAACGCCGGGCCCCTGCATCCATATGACTGGCACTAACTAACGTAGCCCCACGTGAGAGAGCAGCAACGTGATATTTATCTCAAATTGGCAGTCAAGATACGGTCTTTCAGTGCTTTGGAGTATGGTCGAACCGCTGACATCTGCCTTTTCCTGTTTCTCCATCACCAGCTGAAACTGCGTTTCTGGCTGAATTTGCTTGTAGACACTAATTAACCAGCTAGAAGCACCCTGCACTGTTTTCCTGTGTCTCTATTGCGAGACCCATGTGGGCTGCACAAGCTGTACCCGGCTGGAAGAGGTGCTGAGCTGCTCCACGTTGTATTTCATCAGCGACGACAGAGGTTTGAGGGGCTAATGGGTGGACAACCCTTTGTCTGGAAAACAAGCAGCCTTCTGATTTAATGGAAATCAATTAATGGCATCAGACTAGAGGGCTGACAACATTCCTGGGGAAATATTTGCTTAAGATAGCAGCGAGGTAAAGAGCATGTTTGCCTATGGGAAGTGAAGAGCTGCCCAAGGGCTGGAATATTTTTCCCCGGCCGTTCTCCCATTCCTGGCTGGAAGGGAAGGAGGGCCAGCTCTGCATCTGGACGCTACGGAAAAGAAGAGCAACAGCTGGATTTTTGCTTTGCTGCCAAAAGGCTTAGCAGAAGCCCAGCCTAGCTCCCTGCAGAAGCTGTGGTGGCTCAGGAAAGCCGGGTGGGCTCCCGGTCGTTCTTTGCATGCGGTCCCGTGATTTGTGTTGGTGCACACAGCTGGATGTCCTGCTTTGAAACTCTGCTTTCCCAAGAGGGAGCATCCTGGCACTTCTCTGGATCACAGCCTAGCTCATTCCCAGCAGCCCGGTTCCTGGGATGGTCGGGGCTGGGTGGCAGGTCCTGTCCCTGGGCAGAGGAAGGTGGCCAGTTACAGGAATACAAAAGGAACTACAGCAGTCCCATGCTCTTCCCGTCTCTGCTTTTTGGGAACCCTCTCTCACAGCCTGCCAACATGATCCTCACCCCTTGTTCGCTTGCCTGAGTCAAAAAGAGTAAGGGCATGTTCAACTTAGCAAGACCAAAGCTCAGCTTGTTGAAGCTGCTTGAAAACATCTTTTTTTCTCTCGTCTTCCTGGAGAAAGATCCTTCTCCATCTATTTGAACGAGTCACACAGATCGGAGCATGAGGCTGTGCCTCCCATACCTGAGGCCAGCCTGGGCCTGCACCTATTGCCCCCTCTGTATCTCCCCACCAGGGAGGGTTAGGTGGCCACCACTCCACAGCAGCTTCACAGCACATCTGCACCACAGCACCCCTTGGCTTTCTCGTCTCATTTGCAGATCCTGTACATCCTTTAGGACTGATGCAGTATTTTCCTCCTTTCTTCCTTCCTTCCTCTGTTGGCGTTCCTTAAGCATGAAAGATACTGCTTTTATTGCTTGGAAATACAGCCAAACACTCAGTTGTTATTTTTGGAGCCCCGGGAGAAGCCCAAGCAGTGGGAGCAACAGTCAGTTCAGATGGGGACAGTCCTACTTCCAAGAAAAATTCAAGCCATTAGGTTTCACCAGGCACCACAGCAACGATCATGCCCATGAGGAGGGTCACTGGGGATTCAGCAGTCCCAGGGCTTCATTACAGCTCTTCGATCATGAACTTCATATTCACAGGTCTTGTCTCAAAGCTGTTTCCTAATAACTTCAGCTGGGCCAGTTCTTTGGTTCAAGAGATGTGTTTTTAAAGAAGAGCTCTTCTTCCTCACTGTCTTTGACCCCAACCAGAGGAACAAACGTCAGTTCATTAGCTTTTTTTCCCTAGAAGATCCCTAAGTCTTACTTCATTTTTCAGCTTGTGTGGGCTTGCTGCAGTTCATGAGAATTGCCCTGGTGTTCTGCTCTATAAACCTCCTCGCCAGTGCAGGCTTCAGCCTTAGCTTATGTTTTTTGAGCAATTCCAAGAGAAATAATCCACTGTTGAATTAAAAGTAAATATATATTAATGCAAACACACACCCCTGCTGCTCATGGGTACTACTAGAATGAGTTTGGGGACAGCTGTTCAGACAATATAATTTAGGGTGTTTTTTAGTGTATGCTTTGGATATGCCAAAGTTCCTTTACTTAAAAAAAAAAAGTTAAAAAAACTAAACATGAAAAATGTTAACAATGGGCAATAAAAAAAAATCTAAAGCAGAAACATTAGCCTGGAAGACATGATGAAATAATGTCTCAGAACATACCATTCTTTATTTTTGTTTTGCTTCCTACTGACTTTTTTCAAATAAAAACTCTTACAATTTTGCTATTTTTAGTTTCATGTTTTGGGTTGAAGAGGAGAGAGATATGGAAGCTATTGGGAACTGTGTAACTTGATCTGATTCAGCAGGTCATTTGTCATTTAAACAAGAGTTTTCTAGTCAACACTTAGGAAAAATTTAAAAAAATAAATTAATTATTTTTATTTCAAAGAGGCTGTAAGAGAAAACTGACAAGGCTGTGTCTAGGTATGAAAGGTTTAAGAACAGGCTGCCTCATGAATGTATGGAAAATTAAATTTACATTTCCAATAACAATAGTAACTTGCCATCATTCCTTTATCAGACTAATTAAAAGCAAGCCAAGACTGTGATAAAATTTGCCTTTTCTGTTGTACTAATCTATAAATATATTAATAACATGCTGCTTAGCTTTAAAGGAAATTATTTGGATTTTAGACCTCAAAAGAGAACTATTTATTTCCAGGAGAAAATTACTTGCCTGCTTGACTGAGTTCTGTATCCCCATACAGCAATTATTCCCATAAAGAGGAACTAGAAGATGGGAAGATTATATTTTTCATAATTTTTTTTTTTTGTGACCAGCTCTGAATACAAGTTCTTAACTTTTTATTTTATTTTTTAATCTTGATGTGGGCTGTTTCTTCCTCTTCTTTTTCTGCTTGAGGAGAAGGATACCTGAAGATACCTAGATAGTAAAGAAAGCAAAAGACATAGAAAAGGTAGTACAAAATCAAGGCATTGGTTCCCCAAAGTTTGTTTAATACCACATATCTCAGATGGTAATGAGAGATATTAACTCTACTACAGACCTTCTCTTGACTGTGTTCCCAGACCATCACAGCTGCAGCAGCACCACTGATAAATCCAACTTTTAATTGCAGCTGGGGACCTTGCTGTCTTGTCAACTGGTGTGGAATGAATAAATATAAAAACCCAAAAGGTGATTGATCAGTTCACTTCAGTTGATTTGTCAAGGAGTGCACTTCAGCACCAAACCACCGTATCTGAGTAAAAACCCTTCAGATGAAAAATGCAAAACTTGATGCTTGATTTTCTACCACCATCTTTAGGCTGCTGCTGGTACAGACAGTGGTGGTCACAGTGGCACTTGGGAGAGGAGCAAAGATGCCCAGCAAACATATTTTAACACATCATCTTTTCTTCTCTTACTGTTATAACTTAACGTTGTGGGCAATTTTTGGCTGTTCTGGTAGGGTCAGAGCCACAGAGAAGCTGGCAGAGCTCCTCATGGTTTGCCTTTGCCCTGACTGAGATTCAGCCTCTCCTTGTGAAGGGCCGAGGGACTCATCTTGCTGCACCACTAGGTTGGATGAGGAAACATTGCCACCTTGTCTTTCAGCCTGCTTTTTGGGTACACCATGCTGCTTTTTGTTTCTCTTGAGGCTTTGTCTAGACCTAACGTTGCTCCCAGATTTCTCCAGGAAAAACCTTGAGCTTTGGGTGAGGATGCTTCAGTGTGAACGCCCTTTGGACCAAGCAAAACGGCTGGACAACATTGATGGGGGGTCTGAATTTCTTTACATATGACAAGATATTTTGAGTCAACCCTGTACAACAGCACGTGAGCAGCCAGGGGAGGGAACGGATGCCAAAACAGCTGTACCAGCCTTACCCATGGTCCAGGAGCCCTCCAGTGCCTCACCACCCTGGGCACCCAGTGCCCCTGCCCTGCTGCCTTGGGAGTTTGTCCCTGGTCGGAAGCACGCTGACATTGCTGAGGCTGTGGCCACTGGAGCTCAGGAAGGGGAACGGTGTGCCTGTTCTGGGAGCTGATCCAGCCAAAAACTGCCTGGGGAAGGGAGCTGATAACTGAGTTGCTCCTCAGAGCTGGAGGCTCGAGCACAGGGGCAACGGGGGAGGACTTGGGAAGCAGGAGGGGAGCTTAATGCTGGACTGGCAGCAGCACAAAGCAGCAGATACTTTGGCATACGATATGCAGCATTTTTTCAAGTTAAAACATCTTTATGCCCTGTGCTCCTCACCCCACCACCCCCGTGTACTCACCTCAAAAGATAATCCATCCACTCTGATCTTTGACTGACCATCACATTACAGCTGAACGTATCAGCTTGAGGTGCAGGAGCTTGGGAATATGCGGAAAGGAATAATAATAATAAAAAAAACAAACAGGAAAAATGCAATACAGTCTGGCTGGCAAGGGAGCTGGTATCCCTCTGTCTGAACTGTCTGTTCAAGTAACACCTCACCAACCAAGGAGAACAAGTGCTTTGGTCCCCATAGTGCTATCTGAGCATGTTATTGCACACCCTCCTGCATAGAAAAGTGAAACTTGGATCTTGCCACAAGGCTTTAAACTTCTTTCCTGAACGTGTTAAGGGATGAAGGGATAATTTTATAAATAAATAGGACAGCACGTAAAGAGGGTTTCTGGAAGTCACCTGGAACAAAGTAGAGCACGTGTCATACCTTTGCCAAAGGCATTAGGTTGTCCAACTGCTGCAGCTGGCCTCACCCTGTCAGGGTGTTTGTAAGGGCAGGAGAAGCTATTTATCAAGTGCTTTGCTATTAAAGGTCAGAAAACTACCTTGCTCTCTTTGCATAGCCATTTATTTCTTTCCAGCTGCTTACGAGTCTCCAAGAAGTCTCATCTTCCTTAACAGCTCCTAAAATAAACAGTAGTTATTGCTAATGCAGCCATCATAGCTTACATGTTACCTATTCATCTCCTTTCAAATGAAAGCCCAGAGAACCTATTTCAACATCTAAATATCTTATTTTGATAATATGGCATCTAGACACAGTTTACACCAAATTGTAAGGGACAACAGAATCTGGCTCTTCTATTTCTACATCCTAAGATAAGGGAGTTGAATTTGAGTAGCTCCTCTGGACCAAACTGAACTGACACACTCCCCCACAAATCCAGGGAGGCACCTAATTCTGGTGACCTGTGTGGACACTCAAAACTTTACAGTGCAGTTCATAATAACCATCTGATGCATGACACAGAACGAGAATGGGAGCCCCTGTCATTTTGAGTGAATTATGGTCCAAAGCCCTCGGTTTTGCTGACAACATTTGTGCAGAATGGAGAAAGGGTTTTGAGTTCCAACTAGCAAACAGCCTCTGTATCTAGGAAAGACTGTGCTCCAACTCTGAGTCAGTTATCCAGCACATAAGAAACCCAAGACAAGTCCACAGTGTTTGCAATAGGAAATAAACATCATCACAATTAAAAGAAAATCAATCACTATTAGGCTTTTATATAGAAAACTCTTTACTTCCCACTAAGGTAAACCTGGGCTGGAATTCTTTCATTCTTCTGCTGTAAAAAGTAGGATGTGGCTGTGCTTAGAAAGGCTGGACCTCCTTTTGCTCAGAACAGTAGGAATAGCTACTACAGAGGTAGCTGTTATGATACCAAGAAGAAGAGTAAATAAAAGCAATCAAATCCCAGTCACTGCTTAGCTGCATCCTGTAATTGCACATGGCCACCGACTCAGCCCAAATCACTCCAGTTCAATGCAAAATTCACCTTCTACCATGGCGTGATGGTCCTTAAAGCC